CCTGGCCCAGGGTGGTACTGCTGTCGGAACCGGTCTGAACACCTTCAAGGGCTTCGATGAGGCCATCGCCGCCGAGGTTACCAAGATGACCGGCACTCAGTTCTACACTGCCCCCAACAAGTTCGAGGTCCTTGCCGCCCACGACTCCGTCGTTGAGGCCTCTGGCTCCTTGAACACCCTGGCTGCCTCTCTCTTCAAGATCGCCCAGGACATCCGTTACCTCGGTTCCGGACCCCGTTGCGGTCTGGGTGAGCTGTCTCTTCCCGAGAACGAGCCCGGCTCTTCCATCATGCCTGGCAAGGTCAACCCCACCCAGTGCGAGTCCCTCACCATGGTCTGCGCTCAGGTCATGGGTAACCACGTCGCTGCCACTATTGGTGGCATGAACGGTCAGTTCGAGCTCAACGTCTTCAAGCCCGTTATGATTCGCAACCTGCTCCACAGCGTGCGCATCCTTGCAGACGGTATGAAGAGCTTCGAGAAGAACCTGGTGCACGGTCTCGAGGCCAACGAGCCCAGAATCAACGCTCTCCTCCACGAGAGGTAAGTTACACCGTTACACCGGAATATACTTGCCGTTTGTTTAATTGATCGTTCGCTAACCTCAACTTCTAGTCTGATGCTCGTTACCTGCCTGAACCCCGTCATTGGTTACGACATGGCCTCCAAGGTCGCCAAGAACGCTCACAAGAAGGGTCTCACCCTCAAGCAGAGTGCCATGGAGCTCAAGGCTCTGAGCGAGGAGGACTTCGACAAGTACGTCCGTCCCGAGCTGATGCTGAGCCCCAAGGAGAAGAAATAGATGCATAGACGGCGCGTTGAATGACAGGAATGAGGGGATTTGGTCTTTTTGAATAGTTTGGAGGGACGCGATCTAGCGAAGCCCAGACTTTGCCTTTTTTTTTTCATATCAAATTTATGTACACCCAGGAAATTTCATTGTATTATTTTTTTTCTTCTTCGATCAGTGTGAATAGCTGGGGAAGTTTGAGTAAGACTTAAGTGGCATGGATGATGGAACCCAATCGTGCGGTACTTTGGTCGGATCGCGTCCGCCGCCGACTGCTACTATTTTTGGAATGCCCCAGGGATGCAGATTGCGAAGACTGATTGCAACTGCGGCAACATCCTTTTTCTTGCGGGAGGCGAACAGCTAACGAGTAAAATTGTCATATCAGGGCCACATGCGGTGTCGGAAAGGGAATGGAAAGCGAATGGGTTTAGGTGGAAGTAGTCAGGGGCGGACAGAATGACAATAACTCAACGATGATCAATTAATGGAGTGTTTCAGGCTGCCCATGGGCCCTGAGGCTGGGTTGGCTGTGTTTGCGGCCATCATTAATACGAGTAACTTCCGCCGCGCACTTGGCCCCTCTACACTTCTCTTTCTCTTTCACTTCAAGAATCCCATCAACTCTGTCCAATTGACCCTCCTGTCCCTCTTTCAGGCCGCTGTGTACACTTCCGGAGTTGCTCCTTTTTTTTCCCTTGCACATCTCCGGCACTCAGGAGTTTCTCCCCCTTGTTCCTGACCACGAACCCCGCTATTTCCCTTCCCCAAGTCAGAGCAACAACATCCCCTGGTCAAAACCACATTCCACCGAATCGAAACACCAGCAAACACCCACAACCCCTCCCAACCAAACACAATGACGAACCTCACCAACAACTCCGCTGCTGCTCCCCAGCAGCAGCAGCAGCAGCCCCCCGTCGCCGTCAAGGCCACTACGCCTAACGAAGACAACGACACCGACCCCCTCCTCTTCCCCACGACCCTCGTCTCCCCGGACGTCACCGCTGCCCTGCCGGCGAACTACACGATCCGGCCCGTGCGCCGCTCCGACTACCAGCGCGGCTACCTGGACGTGCTGCGCGTGCTGACGACCGTCGGCGACATCACCGCGGCGCAGTGGGACGCCCGCTACGACTGGATCTCCGCCCGCAACGACGAGTACTACCTGCTGGTCATCTGCGACGGGGCGGGCCGCATCGTCGGCACGGGCAGCCTGATCGTCGAGCGCAAGTTCATTCATGCCCTGGGCATGGTCGGCCACATCGAGGACATCGCCGTCGACCAGGATCAACAGGGCAAGAAGCTGGGCTTGCGGCTCATTCAGGCGCTAGACTTTGTGGCCGAGAAGGTCGGGTGTTATAAGGTTTGTTCTGTCCCTTCCCTGTCCTGTGGGGGGTGGATTGGGGGGCTTTGGCTAATGCTGACTCCGTCTAGACGATCCTCGATTGCTCCGAGTCGAATGAGGGGTTTTACCTTAAGTGTGGGTTTAAGCGGGCGGGGTTGGAGATGGCGCACTACTATTAGATTAGACAAAGGCTTGTTGGTGTGGGCGTGTGAACTTTTTAGTTAAAGGGGTTTGCTATTTTCTTCGGGCGTTTCGCATAGAGCTTGGGGACATTCCTGGGTCGTCGCGGGTGAGGGATTGTGTTTGGTGCAATACATAATTTTTTGGGGTGGTAGTGGGGATTAGAGTATGGGTTTTTATCGTGATGGAAGTCCCGTTATGGATATACGAGGGACTTGATTGCGGTAGATGATGTGCGGTGGTTTTTGTTTCGGGGGTTTATACTATATAACTAGTGAACTAGAGGAAGCATGTCTTATCATATATCATATGTTGGCTGTAGCCTGGGTTGAGTAGTAATGCGGTGGGAACTTTTGAGGGGGGGGGCGTTCAGTGGGCTAAGTAAGGATCATGCTTGTAGGACTCGGATGTGTAGGTAGGACACCGGTGACACTGCGGTCAGGGACCATGGTGGGAATGCCTGAGGCGGGGAGGTCATGTGGTTGATATTCCATCACAGAACTATGGAGAACAGACGGGTGAATTACTATCGTTGCAGAACACATAATTGACATAAGTCCGACTTGAGATCTAGGTTGCATGGGGGGATTATGTGGTTGATTGTGTCATCTCTGAATTATGGAGAATAGAGGACCGGAGACGTCAAAATATACCGACAATCTGCTCGCACGAAGGTCAGAACATGGCGATGTCAAGCTAGATCCAGGTCCACATCATCCATAGTCACCAAGCGTCATGGAGTCAGGAAGTGGGAAATCTACAAGCTCGAGTTTCAAAAACGAGATCGAAAAACGCAAGTGCCATCATATCACATCCATTTTCCATTTTTATGGGTTTATAAAAAGTACCATGGCGCAACATGATAGAGAGAACCACCCTATCTGGAAGAGCCAAGGGGGTATGTTAACCGGGACTCCCCGACCTCTGTCGACCGGGGAAAACGTTCTTGCTGCTTTGTCCGCTCATGCGCCGGAAATTTTCGCATTTTGTGTTTCAATAAATTTGTTGATTGAAGGAAAACGTAAATTCCAGCTCCGGAAAAACCTCCCAAGATTTCATGATATCCCTTGTGCTCCCCCAGCTTAACAACCCAAGCCAAACCGCTTCTTCATTTTCAAATCACGCTTTAGTTAGGATTTTAACGGGACTTGGCGGCGACCTTGGGGGCAGAACCCTTAGCACCCTGCTTGCTCTGGATGCGCTGGGTACCCTTGCCGGCGGCGGCGTTCTTGGCCTTCTCGGCCTTCTTGCGGGCCTCGGAGGCAGCCTTCTTCTCCTTGGCGTCCTTGATGGCCTGCTGGCGGGCGGCGGCACGGGCCTCGGGGCGCTGAGCGCGGCGCTCCTTGATCACGTCGAGGGAGGCACCGACGATGGCACGCTGGTGCTTGACGGCACGGCGGGTACGCTTCTTGGCAACTTCCTGTATTCAGGCGAAAAATGTCCCGTCAGCAATTTGTTCCCACCCACGATGTATCAAACCATGGTCTCTTGTGTCTCGAGTTGCAATCTCCTGCCTGAGGAATGTTGATGCAGCCCTTCTTTTCTTCCGTCTCGGTATATATATTGTCGCGCCAAGCGGAATTGGTGATGAACGAGTCGACTCGAATAGTGATCCGAATTCCCCATCAAAACTCTAGTCGCTGTTTGAAGCCGTTGTTCCCGACCACATTCTAACCCCCATCTGATCCTCACATTCCCACAGGCAGGAGAGACGACCCAAGAAAACACACAGAGAACCTTTTTGTTTTCACGCGCGGAATGCAAAAAGATGGCGGGTGGTTACTGACTTCAGAGATACCCTTCTTGTGCTGGCGACGGTAGAGGACAGTCCAGGCGATACGGCGAGGGTTCTTGCGCTGGAGGAAGAGGGACTCGGACTTTCCATTCTGGAAGCGGAAGATCTTGCTGTCGCCACGGACGTACAGCTTACCCTATTTGTTCCACAAAAAAAAAGTCAACAATCTTTGTCTCCATCTCAATATGTTGGCGATTCTTTGGTGGATTTCGTCACGGGGTTGTCGGATAACCCTGCTTCATGTCGGCGGGTAGGGGAGCGATCAAAACGCACCTTTCCAGGGTAGATCTTCTGGCCGGAGAAAGAATCGTCGTAGGTACGCATCTTGATCGTCTGAGATGCGCAGCCGGTCTGTTGTCGGTTGGCGTTGGGTGGTTGAGTCGAAGCGGTCTCTGCGGCGAGGCTGTTCGGGCGAGACTGACACAATTGTGGTGGTGCGGTGCGGGAGCCTCGCTAAACCCTACCACGTGACCGCCCCTGCCCTTGGCTGGCAGCATGCTTGCTGTCCGCCTTCCCGCCCGTCTCCAACTGTAAGTTATAGTTCAGTTGGTATTGTATGGGGGATTGGCGCGCGGGGGCAGGGCAATCTACTTCATAGTTGTTCGGTCACCGGATTGATGAATTATGTTTTTCTTTTGAAGACTGCACACCTTCATCTCTCTTTGCTCAGACTCATAAATTTCCATTATGATTATGGGTTTCGCGTCTGAAACTATATGACAGAAATATGAAATCAAATCCCGCCTCTTATGAGCGTCATCGTACACACCAGGATTTGTATCGTTAGGATGATACATGGCTTCTCCAAGTCACATACAGCAAGGGTTCATCTAACAGGACCGAATTTCAAAATGATGCCTGCTCACTTGTCTATCCATTCCCGTCTGTTTCACTCTTATCCATTCGTAACCGGAACGTCATGATCACGGTACATCAAGCAACATGCCGATCGATAGCATCAGGTCGGAGTATCAGTATCTCATTCGAGAGGGTACCGATGTCGCTGGCCTTCTGCCAAGGCAAAACGGTTGCGCCTATTCATGCCTTATGCCAGTCACAGGGGCCCCAAGGGTTTGGCTTGCAGTCCTAGATACGATAATAGTAGTTAGCATGTTTCTCACCCCGTGCCAATTCTCTCCTCCCCTGCTGACAACTCCCTAAAGGGAATATCCACTTACCTTGCACTGGATGTCGCGACACATCGGAGTGGAACAGATACCGCAGCAGTCCGAGCAGACATAACGCCCGCAACCGCCGGGCTCGGTGCACACCGTGTAGGTCGAGTGGTCCCTGGCCAGGTTCCCGTAACGGTCTAGGAGGGTGTTGACCATGAAGCAGCGACGCGACTTCAGCCACTGGCGATCCGCGATGGGCTGGTGCAGGTACTGATCGCAACCCCAGCGGACGCAGCAGGGCTTCCCGCAGATGGGGCACGGCCCGCGACACTCGATGCACCACAGAATCTTACAATCCCAGGAGCGGCTGTCGTCGGGTCTTGCGGGTCCTCCAGGCGCGGCGCCCTTGAGAAGAGTGCCGGTAAAGCCACGCACCCAGAGAGTCTATTCCTTGCGTTAGTTGCTCATGGGTTGGGTCAATCCGGGCAGGAGGATGTAGGCCTCTTACCGGATCCTTGTAAGGCTTGCGTGGCACGGGTGGGGTCGCCTTGGGCTTTTCGGCGTCGCCCTCAGCGTCGTCGCCTTTGTCGTCGCCTTTGTCGTCGCCTTTGTCGTCGCCTTTGTCTTCACCCTTGTCTTCGCCTTTGCTCTGGTTCTCGCTGTGTATGGAAGCGGCGGCACTGCTTCCAGAAAGATTCACGAAAGAGTGGCCGGCGGACTGGGGCTTGTCTGGGTGCTTCTCCTCGCGCAAAAGGGGAGTCGATGAATTTGGAGAGAGAGAGACAATAGTGAAGCTCATGCGTGACGCTTCAGACTGGTCACCGGACTGAGTCTTCTCCGCGGGTTCCTTGCGCAAAAGGGGAGTTGCTGAATCCGGAGTAAGAGAGCCAGCGGTAAAGCTCAAGCATGACCCTTCAGACTGCACGTCGGATACAATGTTCCAGGAATCAAGACCGAGAGAGGCAGTGGAGGAGCTCAAACGTGCCCCTTCAGACTGCTCACCGGGCACAATGATCGAAGCACCAAAATGGAGAGTGGCTATAGAACCGCTCAAGCGCGACTCTTTAGACTGCTCGGCGGACTCAAGGTTTGAGGCACCAAGGTTAGGAGAGGCCATGGGGGTGCGTGATCCTTCTGACTGGTCGCCGGACATGATGGTCGAGGCACCAAGAGGGAGCGTGGCCATGGAATCGCCCAAGTGTGATGCGTCGTCCCTCACGCTCAGGACGACTTCTTTCTCGATGTGTGAGACAAGCTGCTCCTCGGTCTCCTCAATGATAGTACCACGATCCCAGAAATCCAGGCGCATGTAGACAGGGACATTGTCATCGCCGATATCTGCTCACAGGGTCAGTCTCTCTCACCCAGCTCTCACCTGGCATGGTGGTGTGTAATTGTTTACAACAACACAGACAGCATCAGGGAGGGGAGGGAACACTCACCACCAGATGTATCACCGAAACTCGCGCTGCTCTGAGTACCAATGCTAGCGGCCAGGCTGTCGGTGCTCTGGTTGCCCAGGGCGTTGACCAAGACCGCGGATTCCAGAGACATGTTGCTCTCATTCTCGTTAGACATGGCCTGCTCCTTCTTGCTGCCGTAAATAGGCTGCCCATGCTTCTTGGAGTTGTGCTTGTCGTCGCTCGCGGTCTTAGAATCACCGGTTTCTATTTATACACCCAAGCATGAGCTGCCGTTAGACGAGCTACAACACAAGCAACGAAGACAAGCAGACAGAACAACTTACTCTCCTTGGTCATTGAAAGCATAGACCACTCGGAGACAGACTTCTGGTCGCTCTCTTTATCAGCGACGGAGTCTTCCTTGTTGAAATCCATTTTGTAGTCAGTGGGCCCAGCGTGGGTGACGGATTGCTCGGGGAAGCGTAGGTTCTCGTAGTACTCCAACATAGGATGCTCGTAATGATCTCCGACAAGAGGGCGGCCGTGCTCTTTCTCTTTACAACGTTGTCTGCGCTGGTAGTCCTCCAGGGTGGGAAACAGGTGATCTAGGTCCTCAATCGTCACCACACGCGGGGTCTGCGTGCTTTTGTTGACTGTTACCACCGACTCACTGAAACGCTGTGATTTGATGAAGGGGGTTTGTTACCTATTCCTCTTTGAGGCGTCCCTGGTCCTCTTACGCAGTCCCGGCAGCTTGAAGACCTTGGTTCCTGGGATAAAAGGGTTGAGAACTTGTTTGATGGTTGGAATCATGGCTGGTGGGTGATGCGTGTTTGAAGTCACATCGGGGGCGACGATGCAGTTCGCAGCTTCAAGAGAGAGCAACTGTTGATCTTGATATTAAGGCTACCAACATCAAGAGGTCCCGTGACCTTATACATGGTCACGCTAGGGACTGAAATGAGAAGGTCGATGCTGGAGTGAATGAATTAGAATCAGACATTGGTTTACCTGTGGTGAAGTGTTATCATTGGTCCGTGTGATGGTCTTTGTAGGCGATCAAATGCAAGCCAGGCACAGTGTAACATGACCAGCCAATATCAGCTTGATAAAGTAGAGCCTTTAACAAAGCCCGAGGGTGGTTGTTGTTTGCATATGCAGCTATCCACCGGCGCCTACATAAGTTGGCACATATCTTTCTTCTTCACTGCTGCAGTGGACCCATCATCAAGGCTGAACCACCAACTCTCAGCTCAAATACTCAAGCCCACGGCGGGAGTATTCTCACTCTACATCTCAGATTCCTGGCATACAGGTCGCGAGGTAAAACTATTCCGATACTTAGGATGAGATGGCACGAAGCGAGATTGGAGATCATATGTACATTGCTATCTATCCATGCGAAAGCGCCCCACCAGGACGACTATGGCTAAGCGGAACTAACTACATTCTCGAAGACAGCAAAAGAACAAAAAGAGAAAACCACAGGACCAGCACCAAGATGTACCAGATATGAGGGATAGCCTTTGCTGCCATCTAAACGACTGAAAGAAAGTAGGACCCAGCGGTGCAGAGCTGCCATCCCTCATGTGCAATGTTGGCTTGTCTCTCTCTCCCTGCAGAGCCGCAAGTGAGGTAGTTGTAAAGACTGACGCGGGAAGAATATTAGGGGATCTGAAGGAAAAAAGAACGAGAGGCGCTTTTCTTCTCTGCTTTCTCTTCTTCGAGGTCTCATGGGTCACGTCACAGACGTTTTGTTGCGCCTGAGGTGTTTGTGTCAATGGCAGGCAACCTGGGAGAGGCTACCGCCGAAGCTCCTTTCCTTCCCCTCTTCTCCCCCGTTTCCAAGAGTTGAACCGCATGCATCTAAGTCATGGCGTGGGTTCTAGTCCACTCTTTCGCGGTCTGTATGGCAGCCGGCTCATCCTCCTTCCAGCGTTGGGCAACGTCGTTGGCGAGCGGGTCGTCGGGGTTCGGGGCACCCAGCAAGGCCTGGATTGAGAGTAGGATCGTGCGGATTTGTAAAGCGGGGGACCAGTTGTCTAGGTTGGTGGTTAGTTCCTTTCCCCGTGGCATGAGTTCCGTGGAGGACAAACTCTTGAGCACGTCCAAGCAGATCCGTCCGAGCCGGTCGATGTTGGGGTGGTAGATCTTCGTCAAGAAGCGGATCTTCGGGGGAGTCATGGGGTAATCCTCGGGCAAGAACAGTTCAAGACGGAAGATGCCGCCTTTGAAAGCGAGTGGTTAGCGGCCAACCAGTCTATCTCTCGTAGATCTCCAGACGATATACCTTCGTACGGCGACTGTGCAGGCCCGTGGATCGAGACATCGAAGTAGCGCAAGTTGTCTTCATGCGGGACAGCGTTGATGCCGGGAACCCTGCGGATGGAGATGCGTTAGCCAGTCGTTCAGGTGACGAGGCGAGACAGACTCGACTTACGGCTCCGCCATCAGGCGCTCAGTTTCCTTGATGATTCTCTTCGGCAACGCCATCTTGGACCTGTAGATTGGAATGAACTTTAGTATACATCCAGACCCTTGGGCTCCTAGCGCCTTCAAGTACTCGAGGGTGGGGCTTACGGTTTCTCTGCTTTTGGCCTGTCTGGAGAGTGATAAATCAAGTTCCTACACCAAAGAGTAAAAGGGAAGGCAAAACGACAAAAAGAAAACAACAGTCGACCTGTGAGCTGTTTATTGAGAAGAAGGAAACAAAAAAGAAAGACCAACAGCTTCAGTTGTCTATATGTGATCCTCGTCCGGAAACTAATATGAATCGACGTAACCCGACAGAGGGGCACTGCATCTCAGGTATTTGTCACCCACCGCAATATGCACGGGCTGCTCGGAAAGCCATCCGTGCAGGTGCCTTGACCCGAAATGGAAAGTCCGGATTCCCCCAGACTTGTGGAGCTGCGACTGAGCCCGTCAGTGTCTCGACTCCTTTGGGGTAGATGCGCTTGCTTGAGGTAGGCTTGCTTGTGGATGTTACCTTCATTGATGAGATCATTGGCTAATAGCGCGCTTGTTCAGCTATTTCTAGCTCAACACCTCTCCCAGGACCCCGCATGTCCATTGCATGCAAAGCCTCGAACTTCGACTAGCTCCATCCTCGCTCAATGCGCGTTACTGCATCCTCCCAATTGTCCATTATTCGCAATTGACCGGCCCTTTATGCGAGGGAGAATTCGACATGAGACCAACACGCTCAAACGCACACAATCACATCTTTCATGCTCGCATTCCTTCTTGAATCCGTTACTTTTCCAGGGTGTGAATAGCAGCCGACACGAGGACGGAGCTTCCGACGGCCTGGCCAGACGACGGGAACCATGACGGACACCAGTGAGCCCAGGCCACCGACGTCGGCCTATGAAAGTCCAACATTCGGCGAGGACAGTTCATTCCATGTGGAGCAACCTGTTGGGTCTATGTCCATATCGCCATGTGGACGGGATGTGGTGCTAGCTTCCAAGGAGGGTCTGCACGTTATTGATCTGGACTCGCCTTACTCCCCGCCCCGGTACTTGCCTCATCACACACCGTGGGAGGTCGCGGATGTCCAATGGTCGCCATTCGCGGCCCGAGACTATTGGGTCGTCAGTACATCGAATCAGAAAGCACTGGTCTGGAACCTGGGGATGAAGACTGCGGAGAGTTCAATTGAACATGTACTGCACGCCCACACGCGGGCGATCACTGACATCAACTTCTCGGCGCATCATCCGGACATGTTGGCTACCTGTGCTGTTGATAGTTTTGTCCACTGCTGGGATTTGCGCATCACCTCGAGGCCCGCCATCTCATTCTCCGACTGGTTTGCCGGCGCAACCCAGGTGAAGTGGAATCGACAGGACCCTAATGTGATCGCGAGCTCGCATGACAAGTTTCTGCGGATCTGGGACAAACGGATGGGCGCGTACCCGATCACGTCCATCCAAGCACATGACACGAAGATCTACGGCCTCGATTGGAATAGAGTACGACCTGGCGCTCTGACGACTTGCTCCCTCGATCGGACGATCAAGTTCTGGGATTACACAGTCAATACCGAGGTTCCCGAGAAGCTCATCCGGGCACCGTTCCCGGTGTGGCGCGCACGAAACACCCCGTTCGGTTGGGGTGTCTTGGCCATGCCGCAGAGAGGTAACAGTGATCTTCACTTGTACAGTCGCAGACTCGGAGAGGGTGCCAATCCCGGCGAGGATCTTCCGTTGGTTCACAGCTTTCCGGGGCATAAAGGTCAAGTGAAGGAGTTCCTATGGAGAGCTCGTGGGGGTATAGCTGATGGGATTGATCATAGAGATTTTCAGCTCGTCTCGTGGGGCACCGATCGAGAACTCCGATTGCACAGGGTTGACCCAGATATCTTACAACGAGTGGGCTACGAGAAAGGAAAGTCGTTTATATCTAACTTTAATCTTACCCGTAAAGGTGCGGTCTACAAGTCCTTTCGGGATACGAACGCCGACCAAGATGATGAAGACACAGGGTCCCTCTCGCCCAAGACCCAACAAAGCGCCACACCACAAACTTCCCGCAACAAGGGGCTGAATACGATCTCTATCCCATATGCGCGCGGCTGGACACAAGGTGGAGGCAACCCCGACTCCAGGATAGGCATGCAGGGGCGGACGAACGTTCGAGCCGATACCAACCCTATCGCATGGATGCGCGGTGTGAAGATCTCTGGCTGGGATATCGAAACACTGGGTGATGAGATCACTCACGTCGGAGAGAAGTTCACTAAGGTATCTTTTGAATCCGTTGATGTCAGGCAAAGGAAAGCGATGATATCCCTCAACGGCCCGTGGGCTGCTGATGGCGACTCTCTTTTCTTGAAAGTTGACATCAAGTTTCCGAGCGATTACCCCCGGGCCTCCATTCCTATATTCAACGTACAGAAGACTGCCGCAGTTACCGATGAGCTTGCCGACAAGCTCGTGGCAGAAACTCGGAAGATAGCAGACACCTATCTGACTCACAAGCGAGGCTGCTTGGAGGGGGTTCTCCGTTATCTGTTGGGCGAAAGCACACTAGAGGAAAGTATGGCATGGCTTGGAGAAACAGCTGAGACTGTCAAATCGCCAATCAATGGCCAGCTTGAGGGAGAGGAGTCAAGTGACGAAGACGAAGTCGGGCTATCCCAAAGCCAGGACTTAGGCATGAGTTCGGAATTACTTCGTCCAGTCAATGCCAACGTTATGGTTCCTGTGGCCAAGGGGTGCGGCGCGTTGTGGGCAAATGATGGCCGCTTGGTGTGCTTCTTTCCCTCAAAGAATGATAAATCGGCAGAATGGATGGAGAACCTGGGTTTGAGAGAGATGTCCAGGCTATCGAGAGCCGACAAAGTTTTTGAAGGCTTTGGCCGATTGCAGACGAGCTCGCCTGGTCCGCGGCCTTCTGCTACGATTGCTAGCACTGATGATGGTGCATCGGAATATTCTGATGATTCGGACGCGGAGAGCTCCAGCTCTTCCGGGTCCTCGGGGATCCTATCAGGGCTGCAGCACCGATTCCCGACTCCTCAAACATGGAGGAGTGGTGGCAGTCTGGGGATTTATAGACCACGCTCTACAGATAATTCCCAGAGGTCCACAGCTGGAGCAGTGACCACGAAATCGTCTGATCCGCCTCAGAACGTGATATCGATTCACGACTTCAGTGATATGCTACCGGCAAAACGCGAATTGGCTGTCGGATATCGCATCTGTGGCAAAGCCACGGATGTATGTGCCCACAATTCTGCCGTTGCTCTCGATCACGGGTACCACGAGCTAGCTCGAATCTGGGGACTTCTAAGGCTCATTCTTCACAACCGGAAATCATCGATGCTTGCTTCTAGTCTTGATCAACTAGGAAGGCCGCCGCGCATTCAGCGAAAAGACAGTGCTATTGATCTTACTTATGACGCGAAGAGCCATAATAGGAGCTCGAAGGGGTCCCAAGCCCCGTCAATAAGATGGGGGGATCACCCTTTCGGTAGCCATTGGCTCATCCCATCTCTATTTGATCACTTCGAACGAATCGGCGATGTGCAGATGATCGCGATGCTATCATGTGTCCTGCACGAACCAAACAATGAAGAGATATCAGCAAGGGAGAAGGCTCATCATAGTAGGAGTGTCTCTAAGCGCATGGAAGAGCATTCATTTTCGTTCGACTTTTACCCTCCACATACAGTGATACAAAACAAATCACATACTGCGACTCCCCTTGCCACCACGCCAAAAGACAGCCATACGACTCCCATCACACACAGTTCCGGACGCTCATCCTCCGAAATTTGGCGTGTTGATTCCACTCCTCCTTATTCCACGGGAACAACCCCTCCCCTGAACTCTCGGGTTGCTGCCCTACCGGCAGACCGAAAAACTTGGAGTCAAAATGTATCAATAGCAGCCTCCCCTGATCAACAGTCGCAGCCTCGGAGTGCGTCGGGGCTTGGTTCTGTTCTTGCCTCTTCCCTTTCCCGGTCTTTCACCTTTGGGCCCTCTTCAGCGTCTCCTCCGGCCACTGCATTGTCGAAGAAGAAGCAAAGTCCAAGTGGCAGCCTACACACGACCGGTGGATCCGGCATGTGGGTTACCAGTGCTCTTGCGGCAAAACCTGCTTCTGCGATTCCGGACTATTTGACTACCTCTACCGCGCTAACTTCACAAACCCATTCCGACACGGAAAGTGAGCGACCGTCGCCTGCAAAACCCCGGGCGAAACTGCAAACAACATTCAAGAACCAAAATGCCTTCGACAGCGGTAGCTCACAAAACACGTTTCTTGACCCGAAGAAAGAAGGTCTATACCATTCATATCGAGCAGCATACGCCCACCTACTTTCAATCTGGGCATTGCCCGTGCAACGTAGTGAGGTTCTCAAAATTGGCGGTGTAGCTAGTTCTCTCAAGGGCCTGCATGTTCCTCGCCAAAATGCCAATGGTCATCATGATTCATTCTCTTTTCCCATCTCAAAGCATCGGGGCGCGACCACGGTGCATATTGATGAGGAGAACCAAGGCCTGGATGTTCAACGCCATTGCAACAAGTGTGGACAGGCACTACAACATTCGATTTTCGCCACAAAGGCTGCCGTAGAAACGTTGACTTCTAGGAGTCACATGAAGGGGACAGCGACATCCACCGTCACGTGCCCCAACTGCAAGCCAAAACAGTCACTTGCTCTGAAGTTGCCGTGCATTATCTGCGGCGAGGTTGTCGACGGAATGCTTATTCCCTGCCTCGGCTGCGGCCATGTCAGCTGCTTTGATTGCCATCGAGGCTGGTTCTCCATGGCATCCGCAGATACTCATCCTGATAATCACGCCGAGCAAGATGAGTACCGATACTGTCCGAGCGGCTGCGGCTGCAAATGCTCCGATTTCATCGACATAGACCCCGCTTCACCCTGGGGCGTAACCACAGACCTAACGAGTCCCCAGGAGCGGGAAAACACCCAACATCGGCATCGAAGCAAGAAGTCTGATGGGGCAGTCTCCACGAAGACTTCCGGTGAACACGCCACGGCATCTAATAGTGCACAACATGGAGAAGAAGCAGATCGATCACAGAGCGCCTCGCCTTTTGCATCCCTTGCAAAAGGCCTGGGTGGAGGACTGAGCAGAGGGCTGCGACTACGGGACGACAAAAGAAGATCGAAGCTGTCGTCGACGTCATTTGTCCCCAAGAAGACTTCGATGAATCAGGTCGAGAATAGATGATGGTCATTTGTATCAGTGCTTCTAGCTAGCGACAAGTTATGTATACCCCTTCAGTTTTTTTTTTTTTTTTTGATCTGTTAGCTCTAGGGTTAGGTGCTGGGATGAATCGTACTTTTAAGATATAGTCCCTACCACAATCAATCACGTAGGATAGAGCGAAATTATGCTCTGAAGATGAGCTTCTGCTTGATTCTTTATTAGTCGGTCGTATGTGCTACTATGTAAAGGTACTAGAAACACGAATGTTAAGATCTCGAAAGCGCTTCTGGCCTACATCTAAGTATGCGGAGGGTATCGATTCGTCGCCTGAAAGATGTGGCCATGAACCAACCGCTTATCGGCCGTTGTCGATAACACTCCGCCGTCATTTCTCGATCATTGACCCCCGCCAACCACTCACTTTGTGACCTACTCTACCTTCATTATTGTCCGGCATGAGGAGTAGGGTGTCTCAAATTTAGACGCCACCATAACCTCACCCTTACGCACCAATTGCCGAATTACTATGAGCAACACCGGCCTTGTTGCATGGGGCGTTCCCCGGCTGGCGGAGCTCCTTCCGTTGGACCAGGAATCTCTCACCCAGATCATCGACTACGCCGCCAGCCTCTCCAAGGAAGAAGGAGCCGACCACCTCAAAAACCTCCTGGGCGACTCTCCGGCTGCGTTCGAATTTATCGCTGCCTTCAGCTCCCGCCGTTCAGCCCCGGCGCCGCAGCGCTCCGCCGCGTCCTCCCCAGCACCGACACTTGCCCCCGCCCCCTCCAGCGCATCCTCTGCACCTCCCAGAAACACCAGCAGCAGCTCAGGCCGCAAAGGCAAGAAGTCAAAACCACCGCTTCATAGCGCCGGGCCCGTGCGCCGGCCCGAGAACTTCGGCGACGTGACCGGCGGATATAGAAAGGAGGATCAAAATGAGGATTACATGCCTGTCTCGATGTCAGGCCGGGGTCAACCGGATGCGAAGCCGCCTCTTGGTCTACGAAATCTACCGGTCACATCTTCTCAAGGGTCATCCGCTACCTCGTCGCGCAACCAGTCGCCCGCCCCTCCCCGGCCTAAAAGCACCACCAGCAGCAACAGCAACAACAACAAGGCCCCACCCTCAGCAGCGGGGCCCGTCATCTCGGATCTCCTGCCTAACGTGAAGTCGAAAGCGGCCAAGTCGACGGGGCGCGGCGGCGGCGGCGGCGGCGGCGGCGGCGGAAATGCAGGCGGAGGCTCGTCCTCATCGGCCAAGGGCGGCGGCGCTCTGACGACGACGAACATCACCGACCTGACAGCCGCGATCGCCGCACTGGAGGTCTCCACGAACCCGACGCTGGGCACGGGGGCCCGGAAATGCACGTGCTACGCCAGCATCCACCCGCTCTTCGACCCGGCGCCGAACTGTCTGAATTGCGGGAAGATCGTCTGCGCGCTGGAGGGGCTGCAGCCGTGCTCGTTCTGCGGGACGCCGCTGCTGTCGAGCGACGAGGTGCAGAGCATGATCCGGGAGCTGCGCGCGGAACGGGGCCAGGAGAAGATGCGGGCCCATAATGAGGGCGTCCAACACCGGGATGGGGGCCCGGGGCTGGGACCGGGCATTACGCCGGGAAGTAGCAACAACAATAGGCTGGATGCGGCCCGCGCGCATCGCGACAAGCTGCTGCAGTTCCAGGCGCAGAACGCCAAGCGCACGCGGGTGGTGGACGAGGCCGCGGACTTTGAAACCCCCAATGTCGCGTCGACGCTGTGGATGACCCCCGCGCAGCGGGCGCTGGCCCTCAAGAAGCAGCAGCGGATTATGCGGGAGATGGAGGAGAAGGCCCGCCCGGAGTGGGAGAAGAAAAAGACCATCATGAGCTTGGATATCAAGGGTGGTCGAGTGACGCGGGTGTATCAGTCTGCCGCGGAAGCGAGCGGGTCGTCGAAGGCCGCAGCAGCAGAGGAGGAGGAGGCGAAGGTGGAGGATGGCGACGACATTGCACAGCTGGGAGATGAGGCCGATCGTGGGAGCAGTGGTGGCGGCCACGCGTTTAGCAACAATCCGCTGCTGGCGGCTGGCGGGCTGCTGCGGCCGGTGTGGAAAACCGCCGATGGTAAGCAGCCCGAGACGGCGCGCAAGGAGCGCCAGCCAACATGGCGGCGGGTGCAGGATGACAACGATGATAACGAGCAATGGATTCTGGACGGCGGGGCGCATGGGTATACGTGATTTAGTGGAGGCGGAGAGATTCTGGCGTCACCGTGTAGTTCCTCCCTGGGCGCAGTGAGTGTGTTGGCCTGTACATACGCAACGTTCCCCTCGCATAGTATCTTTTTAAGTGTATCCTCGCTGGTAGTATACACCCCAGCCAAACTACACTACACTACGTATCTCTCAAGCTAGCGCGCCATCGTATCCTTCGGTGGGGACAATCAAAGCCAGACCCCGTATTAATTTGAACTTGGAGTAGAGTCTCGTACTGCAATGGAGACAGAGCTCGTGTTCGGAAGGGCGATACCCAGGAATCCTATCCATCAATATGATCCTATAGCCTGTCAGACGTTGCCCGTGATACATCAGACATGTGCCGCATCTCTATTATTACTTCTCTGCACTCCACCGATAATGAAAAGCATAGCCAACAACTAGCTGACCACCACCAACAATCCAGCCCCGATCCGGATCCGCACCTCCAGAACTCCCCGCACCTACAAAAGTACAGTACAGTACCAGAGACCTGCTCCGCTGGATTATGACGCCAATAGCTCAACTGTAAGAGGGGTGGTGGACCGTGGACCATGGAACACAGTCAGCGCAGTCACTCACTCACTCTGAGTAAAGGCCCGCAAGTAACCGAGAAAGCAAGGCATTATTAATTCAGGTCGGTATATAGGCTGTGCTCCGTCCGTCTTAGCATCTGCATCTTTATCAGGTTGCTCCCCCACTTCTGCAGTGTCTTACATTCACTTCCTCTACTTGAGACATCACGAACCGAGAGCGGGAGGTGACGTTTGCGGGGAAGTTTACTGGACCTGGCAGTATACAAGCTCGGTTCGGAGCGGGTAGATTCGGCCAGGATTTAGTTTACATCGACCACCACTTACCTTTTACAGTCGGTATCAGCAGCGGCGACACGAGTGAGTGAGTGAGTGTTTTGGTTAAGGACTGGCTGGAGGGTGCTTATACGCACTCGGGACTATTAATACTTGTTCCCCCCCTTCTTTCTTCCACTCTGCTGAACGACAGACAAACCCTTGAGTTTCCATCAATAAACCCAGTCCCAAGGTACCAGGGCACACGCAAAATGTTAAGCCAGCTGAGCTGGGACGCCATCTCCCTGGGCGGAATCGCCTGGGGCGTGCTTGGACTACTCTCAGCGTTGGTAGGTTTTACGATCCTATCCTCAGCCTCGCCCTGTCTTGTTTCTCTCCAGCACCACAAGTACAGTGCTAAAGGAAGGCAAAACAGACCCTCCTCTACACCCTCTACAACCGCTACCTCCACCCACTCCGCCACATCCCGGGCCCTCCGCTCGCATCACTCACGCCCTGGGTCCAGCTCTACCACGGCCTCCGCGGCGACCGGCACCTCTGGCTGCACGCGCTGCACGCGCAGTACGGCAGCCACGTGCGGGTGGCGCCCAATTTCGTGTCCGTCAACACCGCGCAGGGGCTGCACGACATCTACGGCCACGGGAAGCGCCTCAAGAAGGCCGACTTCTACAATGCGTTTCCCGCCATCAAGGGCGTGTACAACACGCACAACGTCATCGATAAGACGGCCCACGGCCGCAAGCGCCGCGTGCTGAGCCAGGCGTTTGCCGACCATGCGCTGAAGAGCATGGAGGATGTTATGCTCCTGCATGTGCGGCAGCTGTGTAGTGGGTTGGTCAGGGGGCTGCAGTCGCAGCAACTGCAGCAGTATTCGATGGCGGATGTGCAGGAAAAGCAGGACGGGCCCCCAGTGGTGCAGGATTTGGGCCGGTGGTTTAGTTATCTCACGTATGATGTGATGGGGGAGTTGTGTTTTGGGAAGAGCTTTGATATGTTGATCGAGAGTAGTCGGCGGAGGTTGGTGGAGTTGGTGGATCGCGCGGCCAATCGGCATTATATTGTGAGTGTGCCCTATGCTTCTTGGTGTGAGGTTTCTGGTGGTTCCGTGGCTTTGGGTTTTCCTGGATCATGGCTCACATGCTGGAAACAATCCTAGTGTGGTCTGTGGATGCCCCTCGATCGATGGCACCTGGACCAGATCTTCATTCATCGGTTGACCAACGACCGCTGGAACTTCATCATGAACTCCCGCGTCGAGGCTACGAAGCGCGCCCAGGAACGGACCCAGGCGGGCCACGACGCCAAACGCGATTTCTTCTACTACCTGCTGAACGCCCGGGACCCGGAGTCCGGACAGGGGTTGACCACCCCGGAGCTCTGGGGCGAGGCCAACGTCCTGATGATCGCGGGCAGCGACACGACGTCGACCACCCTCTCGGCCACGGTGTTCTACCTGGTGCGCAATCCGCATGCGATGGAGCGGCTAAAGAACGAGGTCCGCGGGGCGTTTACCTCCGTCGAGGACATTGTCTCGGGCAGCCAGCTCAACGAGCTGGTGTACTTGAAAGCTTGTCTGGACGAGGCGCTGCGGCTGGCTCCCGCCGTGCCCGGGGCGCCCCCCCGCGAGGTGATGGAGGGCGGCGCCATGGTGGACGGGGTGTTCCTGCCTGAGGGGACGGATTGCGGGACGCCGACCTTCTCCATCCACCGCCAGGCTGCGTACTACCGTCAACCGGGTGCGTACCTGCCGGAGCGCTGGATCGAGGGCGCGACGTGTCAGACGGAGTTCGAGTGCTGGGAGACGAGTAAAGAAGACGTCGAGGTCGCGCGACGTGCGTTCTGCCCGTTCAGCATCGGCCCGCGCGGCTGCATCGGCAAGAGCATGGCGTTCATGGAGATGCGACTGACGATTGCACGGCTGATCTTCCTCTTCGATCTGCAGCTGGCCGACCACCGCGGGGAGGACGCCGAGGGCCACTTGGCGCTGGTGGATCACTTCACCAGCGCCAAAGAAGGGCCCAATGTGACTGTACGAGTGCGTACGTAGCCAAGCTGATGTAAATCGAGGACCACTCAAATACTGTACATAATCCCCTCGTACAATGCACAGTGAAAGCTGGTTGCAGGGCCGATAGTAGGGAAATGGACGCTATCGGAAGGACACGTGCCGGACACGTGCCGCCATCCCCAGGCAGCGAGACAGACAGCCCTTCATTTTCCCTACATTACTCTCCCTCTCCTTCCTACCTATCAAAAAACCAGTCATTCGTTTACTTCCTATTCCTCAATCCTCAGACTCTCCTTAACTTTCGTTTCCTAGTGTTGTGCTTCTTTCTTTCATTTATTATCATCATATCGAAATGCCCCCTTCGGCGCTGACCACGACCTTCATACAATCGACCTTCCTGAATGCGATTGCCAACCTCCTCGCCCAGGTTATAGATCAGTACCACCGCGGTGTACGTAGTTCGATTTATTTTTGCTATCATCCAGCCTTTCCCCCAATATTCTGTGTGCATGTTTAGAAGAAAAGAAAACACAAACACCATATATACATCAAGAAAGAATACACGGTGTCCTCCTCCACCTTAACCTATGTTAAACATGACTAACATGATTTGGGGGGGATGGGAAATGGGGAAATGGGGAAATGGGGAAATGGGGGAAATGGGGGAATTGGGGGAATAGTTTGAGGGAATGGGGGGGTTGGTGTGGTAAGTGGATGAGAGAGAGGGTCCTACACTTTACTGATGTATTTGTTTCTTTGGGGGGGGGGGGGGGGTGAACCCTTGGGCCTTGTCTCCAGTGATTTTCCGGATCATCCCGAGTCTCCGAGTCCGAGTCCGAGTCCACTGCGGGAGGCACTTAACCTTACTCTGCACAGGTGTGGTTGTATACATCGATTACCGAAACGGGTAATCTGTATACTTCGTCCTTTTTCTCGGTGTGCACCTGCTGTACGGGGGCTGCTTTTACCACCTGGCACTTTGTTCATGCTGAGCGAGAAACCGATCTAGCTTCTTCGCCTCCCCTCCCCTTCCTATACCCTCAACCCCGACCCCACACCATTATCTTCAACCTCATCCCAGAACCCCCAAACCCCAAACCCCAAACCCCAGAAACAACAAAGGGCCCTCCCATCTCCCCATCCACACCCCCAACCCCTCCCCCTTCTTTACCCTTCCCCCCAAAACTCCCAATCCCACCCCACCCCACCCCCCCTAATTTTACCTCTAGAAACCCTTCCACCTCAACCCCACCGCCTTTCTCCAATTCCTCATCTACGGCCTCCTGAGCGTCCTCCCCAACTTCCTGTGGCAACGGCTCCTCGAATCCCGGTTTCCGGGGTTCCCCTCCTGGCGGCGTTGGGGGTGGTCGTCGCCGCTCACAACCACAAACCCCAGCACAGCCGCTTCTCCGGTGTCAGCAGCAGCACCAACGAAAGGGGAGGTATGCATTAGCATTTCCATTCCCCACGAGGATGTCAAGGACCGGGAAAGGAAGAAGGATGCGGGGAGATTCTACCCCCGCGCCAACAGCAACAACGGGGTCCGGAACTTCCTCGCCAAGTTCCTGCTGGATCAGACGGTGGGGTCGGTGATGAATATCGTGTTGTTTGTGGTGTTGATTAATCTGCTGAAGGGGGTGGGCTTGCCGGAGTGTTGGGGATTGGTGCGTGAGGTATGTTATTCTCTTATCCTGGTGGTTGAAGGGGGGGGATGGGGGATTGAGTGGGGTGGGTTAGGTGTTGCGGCGATGACGATGACGATGCTGATGCTAAAACGGTAAACAGGACTTCCGCCCGATCATGATGGCGCGGCTCAAGTACCGGCCGCTGGTCTCGGTGCTCATGTACACGGTCATTCCGGTCGATCGGCGCGTGGTGTTTGGAAGTGCCTGTGGGGTGATCTGGGGAGTGTATTTGAGTTTGTATGCGGTGGTTTAGTTCACCCCCAGCCCATTGTCTTGTTGGATAGTGCTCTTCTGTTGTTGTTACTATGTGATGTGCTTGAAACCATTCTGCGGGGATAGATGCTTTGACTCATCACAACCATCGACTAACTAATAATGCTTCGCGTTCATCTTATCATATTAGCATATTATAATACATCACCCCGTCACTGTATGGAATTCCCGACCTGCCATCCGAAAAGGATAGATTTACATACATGTAGCAATCTGAAACGAAACCCAGTCCCCAGTTATTATAAAAGAGGTTCGAAAGAAGGTTACACTTTTGCGAAGCAGCCGAAGAATTAGTGCAGCCACTCTTAGAACATCAAGCGGCCGTCCGCTCAATCCGTCGTCCCTTGACGGACAGCCATTCGATGGGCAACGCCCCCACCAGTGCCAGCGCCCCCATCGCCACGGCCACATAGAACGTCTGCATGATGACCGAGTTGTACGCCTCCAGCGCCTGCGGCAGCGTACTCTCCGGCACGACGTGGCGTAGCATGGTCGCTCCGGCGCTCATCACCTGCCGCACTTCCAGCCCCGGGATATGCCCCAGATTCTCGCGCAGCTTGTTCTGGAACACGTTCTGGGCCACCGAGACAAAAATCGCGCCGCCCAGCGTCTGGGTGAACACGACGATGGCCGTGGCGCTGGGCACGTCAGCCGGGCCGAGCGCGGCCTGGCACACCAGCATCGGCTGCTGCAACCCGATGCCCGCCCCGATCCCAATGATGATCTGGTAGCCAATCCAGTGGGCCGCCTTCGAGTCCGGCTCCAGCGTGCTGAGCAAGCCCCCACCGATGGCCACGAACACCGGCGATGCCAGCAGGAATGGCGTGTAGTACCCAAACACCGAGATCAGGACTCCGGCTACCATGGCGAACACGACCACACCCAGCAGCATGGGGAGGTTCATGATGCCGGACTTGGTCGCCGATACGCCTTTGATTGCCTGGAACCAGATCGGCAGCTATTTGCAAGGAGTTAGATGCGGGCTCGTCACCTGTCACGGACATGGCAGGGAGAAAAGAGAGAAGGGCTGGTCACTCACGTAGTAGACGAAGGTGAAAAACGAGCCGCCCATACAGAAGGTGAAAAACGCCCCGCCCCAGACGTTGCGATTCTTGATCAGTCTCGGTGGGATGGTGGCCTTGTCTTTGCCCCAGATTTGCGTCCCGATGAAGCACAGAATTAGTAACCCCGACAGAATGAACAGCGCAATGATGCGCCCATTGTTCCAGGCGTAGGTTGTACCGCCCCACTGCAATGCCAGGAGCATGCAGATAACGCCCGGGAGAAAGAAAAACGTGCCTGGGAGATCCAGCTGGGCCACTTGATCCCGGACTCCGTACGTGCTCTTGACCGACCTGGGTGCCTTGAAGAACATAAGGATAAACAGTATGGTCAGCCCGCCGATGGGCAAATTAATGTAGAAGCACCACCGCCAGCTGAGGTGATCGGTGAACGCGCCCCCCATGAGCGGCCCGGCCACACTAGCCACGCCATACATCCCGGCCAGTGTGCCAGCGTAGACTGGTCTGCGTTCCAGCGGTGCTGTTTGGGCAACAATAAGCATGGCCCCGGAGAAGAGGCCGGCTGATCCGACCCCAGCAACGGCTCGACCGATGATCAACGCCACTGAATTCGGGGCCAACGCGCAGATCAACGACCCGACCTCGAAGATCGCGAGAGCAATCAGATACACCCATTTCGTCGAGTAGAATGTGTACAGCTTGCCGAAGATCAGGGTGAGTGCACATGTCGTCAGGAGGTAGGCACTGCCGTACCAACCCACGTCGTCCAGGGAGTGGAACTGATCAGTAATTTTGGGGATGGCCGTGGCCAGGATCGTATTGTCCTTGATACACGAATAAAGTCAGGAGAGCTCCACATGTTAGTTTCCATCTGATGAGTACACTTACCAAAGCAATGCAGAACAAAGAGATGGAAAGCCCGATGAGAATCAGTGCAAGCTTCCACGAAGTGGGATATTCGGGCTCCGAACCAGCAGCGTCATCACCATGACGCGAGCTTGTTGACTTGGCCTCATTCAGCGGCTCGTGGATCTGAGAATGGAAAGACGCTCCGCGGGACGAGTGTGCAGGAGTACTGTCGCGATCAGTGGATTGCATCCGGCTTGAAGCAGCCTTTCTCATCTCTCTTCTGTTACGCGGGGGAGTCAACTCGATCGACGACGTTTGGCGAGACATGGTCCCTAGAAGAACGAGAACACACACGCCCTCTCTGTGGTATCAGTCGAATAGAATCACGATATCACCAGCAAGATGTAAACGATTCTTGGATTAGCATGGGCCGATAAATCGAATTAACGGGAAGGTGAATGGGTAAGGTGCCGTGAGAGCAAGGCTGTGTTGGAAGCAAAGCAAACAGTGCAGTACAAACAAAGGCAATGTCAATCGAATGGAAAGAAAGATGACTGAATCCCCAGCAGGCCAGCAGGCAGAACAAAGTCCCTCCCTAATTAGGAACCGGCTGTACCACCGGACCTTTTCCCTCTTTCCCTTCTTCCCTTCTCCCTCTTCCTTTCCTTTCCACCCTGACGGCGTTTGTCGTCATCAAAAGGAATGAATCCATCCACTGCCAACACGACGGTCAGGGAGCATGACTGTAACCTATGCTGACTGTGGTGCCCATCCCTGCTGCATGCTCGTGTCCATTTCCAGAGGTCTTCTTTTGTATGGCCCCGGACCAGCTCACCCGCACACCCTCTGGCCTGGCGTGGCCTGGACTGGAAGAGGAAAGAAATCGGGGCTGAACGCATGCAGTGACAGGTGGGATTGGGATGGGTCACAAAGGCTATGAAGAGTCATGGACAGCTGCATGGCATCGCCGTCCGTGTCTTCTGTGCTGGTGTCGTTCGGACATTCGGGCGGATATCTACTTCCGCGGTCCGGGCATAGAAGAGCATTCACCCAACACAGGCCTGTGATTGAGTGAATACATCCTCACCAGCCAGTCCTGAAAAGGTAATGGGGCTGTCAAGCTGAGAGGCTCTTGCCTCTTCCTCAGCCTGGAGGGTCATTCCCACAATACTCTCATGCGGGCTTGATCACAATATTTCCATCTGGACGAAGGGATATCCATACCCCAAAACTATTACGGCCTGATCACTGAGCACAGCCAAACCTTACAGAGGGCCACGATGCTAGCAAGCAAGGTAGAGCTTATTTGTTATTCCCAACCAGAAACCTAGGATATATTCACAAGATGTGCCAATCAAACAGTTGTGCAACGCCGTAAAACATGATAGTGTATCCAGCACCTCCCTACTTCCCAGCCGCTCTGCCAACACCTGATCCATGCGGATTTTCAGCCATTGCCCTTGCGGGTCCGAGTCCAGACTCGACGTCAATGCCTGATATCCTAGCAAAAGGCCGCTCAATCCAACAATTGTTGAAGCAACATTGAAAAATCACCAAAATAATCAGATGCCCCTCCCCCCCTCACTGACCACGCAGGCCGCTGGTGTTGGGCTTCTTGGCATCCTCTTTACTGGCGACAAGAGCGATCAAAGCAGCGCCCACACCACTGCCATCCTTGGAGATACCAATGCGGATCTTCTTGTTACCAGCCTCACCAACCTCGGGGACCTCGCGGAGCGCATCCCGCATGTGGCCCTCGAAGTTGGGGTAGAACTCCACCAGACTGCCATCCACGCCAATATCTACCAGATCCTCCAACTGCAGCTTACCAGTGGAGTGGAGAACAGCCGCCAGAGGCACGGCAGCCAGACGAGCGGCACGCTTACCAATAGCATGTACCACAGTCTGGATGGCTTTGCAATCGTCGTTGCTGGGGTTCTCGATCTTCAGGTGATCCTTCAGGGCCGTCTTGATCTGATCCAGGTTCTCGGTCTTGTCGGCCTCCACCAAGCTCAACAAGCTAGTGTCAATGCCCCACTGGCGGAAGAGGGACGACTCCTTAGGAACCGAGACGGTCGACGATGCGCTAGACTTGAGGAAACCCAGGGACTCTTTGCCGTGCATGTCCAGCATGACCCGGCGCAGGATCTCACCCAAGAACATACCAGAGACGCGTTTCTCGAACATCTGAATGCCAGGGTTGTTGCTGTCCGCGTCCAGCTGCTGGTCATAAACGGTGTTGGGGAGGACGCTGAGGTGGTTGTCGAAGCTACCCCATTCGGCGTTGATAATCATCTCCCCGGTAGACTTGTCGTACGAAGAGTGTTCGATGGTCTGCATCTTGGTGATGCGGTCGAGCTTCTCGACATAGGCACCGTTGGTGCCCGTGCCGAAGATGGCGCCGAGGAAAGTACCAGTGGCACCAGGGGAGGTGTAAGAGCGAGCCATCAAGGTTCCCACGGTGTCATTGACGAGGGCGGCCACACGCACAGGGAGATCCAGCTCATCAATGGCGCACTGCAGCAACGCGCAGACATCCTGACCCACGGCATCGGGGATGTCAAAGCCCTTGGTCCAGCGGATCAGGGTACCCTTATTGATGCCCAGCTGACGAACAGGGAAACTGAAGGTGAAACCCAGGTCGAAGAGTTCCTCCTCGCAGTCGTCCTTCTTCTGGTTGCGGCGGCGAATGTGTGCCTCAAAGTGCTCGTTGTGGTGAATGCGCAGGAACGACTCGATCTGACGTGCTAAGAACAGGAACAGATCCTTGGCGGTACCGGAGGACATAGTCTCCCGAGGAATCATGATCTTAGACTGGGTCAAGGAAAAAGTGGTGTCTCCATGGAGGTCAATGGAGCACACGCGGAAGTTGGTTCCGCCAAGGTCTACAGCCAAATACAATCCCTGTCGTGTGTCTGGTCAGCTGGCGGGGTCCGGATCGATCCGGAGGGAAGAGGCGCCTGATTCTCTTACCTTTTCTGTGCCATTGGGTACAGAGGTGACAAAGGTTGGGATCTGGCTGAGAGTGGTGTGCTCCTGCGACAAGCCCTCGTCCATCTCGCGCACGTATTCTGTTACACCGCGACGCACCTCGTCGGCGGGGTAGTCAAACTGGCGGGCAATCCGCACAGCCTCTTGGAGAACCGGGGAAGACATGATGATGATTCTGATGTGATGAAGGAGGGGAGGAGAAGAGGAGAGTGAAAGTGTCGCAAGGGTGACGAGGACGAAGAAAATGGAGAGGAGTTCCGGAAAGAGATAGCTTGGAGGGAGGAGGAGAGGCGGGGGAGGGGAAAGTAGTAGGCCGGAAGGAGGAGAGATAGACTTGCGGAGAGAGAGAGGGGGGAGAGATTGAAGTATGGAGAGGAGGAGATGGATGAATGCTTGGACAAATGAAGAAAGATTTTCTGGAGAGAGAGAGAGGAGAAATGGAGCAGGTGGAGAGGGTAACAGCAAGATAATAAACGAAAGGACAGAAGGACGGAGGAAAGAGAATAATACGGGAATAATGATGAGACTATCCCATTTCCATGGCGGGGTCGATGAGGTCAGTCCGTCGCGGGGCGCCCAAGGGAAAAAAAAACCAACGACAGGGCCGGGTTCGCCGGTCATCGCCTTCGCCTGTCCAGTTCCCGAGTCCCCTTCCCGATTCTTACGGTAACTGTCCAGTAACTATTCAGTTGTGATTCAGTATTCATTATTCAACAGACCCGGTAGCGAGCACAATCTCACGATTCCATGACGTACAGAAACCACGAGTGCTGGTGAGTGCTGGTGGGGGATTGGGTCGACCTTCACCGGTGAGGGCAAAAGAGGTATAGTAGAGAAGGAAATGGAAGGGGCCCGATGGAGAACCTGAAGCCTTTCTGCCAAGTGAGTCTCACGATCGTGCGGTATTACTCGAGTATCCCGTCGGATCCTGAGTAATTTTCCCCTGATGATGAGACATGTGGCCTCCCACATCTCCAGATATGCCTCTGATCTGGGGCATATGGAGAGAATGAACTATACTATGTACGGAGTAGGTAACACGCGACGAAGGATTGGTTCCCCTCCTCTTTCCCCTTTCCCCTGCAGAGTGCAGAGGCTGTCAAGAACAAGAACACCATCGACCATGTCAGCTGCATCTCGATGATCATCAGGACCCTGTCCACTGTAGACAGAGACGTAACCTTAAATAACAATGTTCCGGGGGGGGAATTGATGGTTGCTAGCATCACCACTCACCGCACGAGAAGGTGGGATACGAGCAGGATCAGGCGACTTCGAATCCGTGCCGGATGCGGTATAAAGCCCCAGGCCACGAGATCAGGCACTAACTAGGCACCAAGAGCCAAGGCATCGAGGCAGAGATATCCGATCAGACACCTCAGGCACTCATAAGTCAAGGCATTCAGGCATTCAGGCAGAGCTTAGAAAGCCCAAGGCACTAAGGCAGGAGCTATCCGTCACTGACTAATGGCACGTGACCATCCCGGCGGAAGTCGGCTGGCAACGCAGAAGCATCAAGATGCAATCCCCTCCGCCGACAGTGGTATTGTCCCCGATCCGTGCATTCAGCGGCCACTCATTACCCTGCCTTCCTCCTGAACGTACCATCGGTCTTCGTGTGGCTGACGGACTCAACCCAATCTTTTTGACGAATCCTCCCCAACACATTCCTCAATTCATCACATTATGGGCGCCGGCAGCTCCAAGCCCGAGGCCTCGGCCGGCTCGACACACGTTTTCACGAGGTATGTACACATCGAAGTGGAGGCAGCTCGTCTGGATCATGCTTTTGTGTATCTTCAATCTACACCGATGCGCGGAGCGAACAAGAATAGCTCAATTGCGCGGCCCAATGGGTTGGGGAGCCATAAGTGACGATTTCGTCACGGCCCTTCCACCCGAGAAACACATATCCCCAACACCAACCCCTGCAGTCTCATTCATGACTTCCAATGGCGCCTGATTAAAGTCGAACCAAAGCGAAGCTAACCACAATTTCCAACCCAGCAACTCCCCCGTCCAATTCTCCTCCAACCTAGTTGAGTCCCTCCAGAACAACACCGAGGTACGTTTCAATCTCCCCCATCCCATTCACATTCTCAGAGGCCAATCATACTAACTCCTACCCAAATAAAAAGACCGACTCCTCCCGCGCCAAAGCCCTCGAACTCCAGATCCAAGCGCGCGTCTCGGAAGAACTCGAACGCCTCCGCGCCCGCGAACAGCAGACCCTCGCGGAGATCGAGAAGCGCCTCGCCGAAGTCAAAGACACCGCCACCTCTCCCTCCACATCCTCCTCCACAGCCACCCCGAACCTCGCCTACCCTCCGGGCTCCCTGAACCTGGATGCGCCCCGCATCCCCTTCGCCGGCCGCGAGGCCACCCCCGCCGCCGCCGCCGCCCCGGAGGCCCAGAAGCCCATCAACCTGGACGTGTCACGGGATTCGGTGAACTCGGAGATCGAGGAGCTGCGCGCCCGGCTCGAGGGCCGGCGGCGGTTGGCGCAGCTGGACGGGGAGGTGGAGAAGGCCCGGGCGGAGGTGGTGGGCTGTCTGCGGTTGAACGACCGGCGGCCGCTGAACTGCTGGAAGGAGGTCGAGAGCTTCAAGCGCGAGGTCGCGAAGATGGAGGAGGCGTTTGTGGATCGGATTGTTGGTTAGTCCCCAAAATGGAGAGTCGATGTGCGTGCGATTGCTTGGATTGAGAAAGAGATGGAGGGGATTTTTGGGGGGGGGGGGGGGGGGTCATGTGCTCACCAACGTTTGTGTAAAGTGTGTTCGTGCTGTGTGAGTGCGTGTGTATGTGTTAGCTATGTTGTTTCTTTATGAATAGATCCGATTTTTGTGCTTTTTGCCTTGTGTCAATATTGTATACGCATCTGTCAAGTTGGGCTTTATCTTGTGGGCTTGCTACATAGATCCAAGCACTTGTCTGTCCGTTAGGTTTAGGATAAGATATTCTATGAAAAGGGTGGGCTCAGCATGGTTTTCCTGGCAACATACACAACTCAACATGGAAAGCCATATAATAACCTAACCTTACAAAGACATCCAAGACATCCGCCTAGAATCAACCTTCTCCACAGGATCATTGACATCCAACAACCACATCATCTCTAAATTCACTCTACAAAACTGCCGAGAGGCGGGGGGTATCATGAAAAAACCGAAACCCTTCTACATACAACCAACATACAACCATGAACAGCATTGCCTCCAACAAACATCCCCAAACCAGCTAAACAAGCTCCCAATACCCCAGTCGACCAACCAATTCCCCCGCAGACCGAACAATGCACATGTTCTTCTTCGCCTTCGCTTTATCCTTGGTGGGGCTGGTGCTCTTCCGGACCTTGATGATTTGAATCGACCCGATCCCCGTTCCCTTGCCCTCCGCCAGGTTGTAGTTGCCCGTCGTGACGAACCCGATCAGATCATCTTCGGAGGGGAGCGAGAGATGGGTCTGGCGGTCATCGAGCGTATCGGCGCAGGGGGCTATGAGTGATGCGGCGAGACGCTGTTGGGCGTCTTCTTTGCTTAGCGGCTTGCCGGTGGTGGTGTTGGGGGTGTTGGTGCGGGACTGTTTGCTTTGATCGCTCTCCTTCGACGCGAGAGAGATCCAGCGCTGTCTGAGGTCTGTGTCGTTGGTCGGGAGCCGGTAGATGCGGGCTCGGGGAGTCGGGGTGCCACGGCTGACGAGGGAGATGCGAACTGTGGCGAGGGTGGCGTTATCAACACTGACTGATCGATCACTCAGTGCGCGAGATGCCTGTGATGACGAGAGTTGGTGGATGTTCAGTGGCGGGAGGCTTGTACTAGCAGCAGCAGCAGCAGCAGCATCCTTCATAGTGGTATCTGCCTCTTTGTCCGTGTTCTGCGCATCCTCGGCGGCCTTGGCTGAACCCTGAACGAGTCTTTCCCAATCGCATGCCCAACCTCGGCCGATTTCACCTTTCTGACCATTGCGCAGATCCAGAGAGTCGAATTCAACTCGACGCCCCTTGGGCCGTCGCTCCCATGCCTTCTTCGCCTCCTCTCGCTTACGCAGACCCCACTCCCACCCGGCGCGGGTTCCGGGGTAGTCGCCAGGGAACCAGGGTTCACCGGATTCGAATGCCAGCTGTTGCTGCTCTTTGAGACCTCCGAACCGGGGAATGCCTCCGCTTGACAGAGGGTAGTACATCAGGCTGTACCAGACGGCGGGAACGCATTTCCAAGGGAGCAGGATCGTCCAGCTACCCGGAGCGTTGTTGTCCTTCGATTGCGCAGTCGATCGGCACGCAAGGACGATAACAGGGATCTGCGGATCCGTCTCCTTCGCTGGAGGAATTTCTCCCGGCCCAGCTGCTGAGCGTCGCCGGTTGATGGCCTTCTGGCTCGGCATCTGACGCGCAGCGGCCAGACGCGCACGGCGATCAAAAAGAGCCGGAGCAGTCTGGGTACGATCCGGGTGCCATTCACAGAGCAAAACCGCCAGATCCTGCATATTACCTTCGGATGTTGGGGGCTTTAACGTCTTTGGAGGGTGGCACAATCGGGGATCGGAGACAGAGAAGGCGAGCAGCGCTTCTCTCGGTAACGAAGCAGCATTGGACACCCCCAGCAAGGAGCTCCAGGTAGCCTCCGGGCTATTCTGTGCGAAAGGCTTGCCATCAGCGACGACCGGTTTCAGGGAAGCGATCAACGCCTCCATTGACCGGGGGCCAGTGATTTCAATACTGCCAATCTCGAATCGGAGATCCTCGACCATGACAGGCGGGTTCTGCCGTTTCGAGATTACCAGCACCTCATTCCACAGCTGCAGGAAAGCCGACGGGTGAACACGGATCCAGAGCTTCTTGCGCTGCTGCTGTTTCGTCTTTTGTTTCCCAGCATCAGCATCAGCATCCAACATCTCCAAATCCCGATCCTCACCCCCCGAGGCCCCAGCAGCACACCACACCAACATAACCTCCGCAATCGGCCTCATCCTCTCCCGCTCACCCGGCGCAGCCTCAAAGACCCAAGCCCGCAACCCTCTCTTCCCCTCCCTCCACTTCCTTCCCTTAAGCCCCCAAGCACCCTGCCCCGCATCCCCATCAACCCCCAAGGCTCTCAAAACAGCCTCCACCGCCGGCCCCGTGCCCTCCAACTGCAACGTAGCCATATAACTCAAATCCCACGCCACACAGCCCCTCATACCCCTCGCCCGATGCGTAGGCCGATAACTCTTCTCCGTCGGCGACAACGGCACGGCAAACCGCCACAACGGATCCAGCGAAGTAGTCATCTTCGCCCGCTTCGCATGGAATATATGAGTGGGCAACCAGGTCTTGCAGCGCTGACGTTTCCGGAACCGGGCCTCCGGCGGCGCGGGGCGCGAGAGTCGGTTCTTCTTGATCTTGGGCACGCGCGGGGCGACCTCGAACGCATGAGGTTGCGCTCCTGCTGTTGCTTCCCCTTCCTTCAGTTCGTGTTTGAGTTCAGCCGCCCGCTGCGCCCGCCGCTGCAGCCGTTTCGCCTGCGTCCGCCGGTTCAACCCTTGTAAGCGGCGCGCCGTCTCGAGACGGATGCGCATCTGTTCGGTGGGTTTGCGGGTGCGCGAGTTGACGGTCGGGGTGTTGTCTTCAAGCATCTGTGCCCCGCACCAGAATCCAGGATGGTTAGCAAAGAAACAGAACGTTTGAAACCCCCCAAAAAGATGACCTCCCCCAAGGGAGAAAGGGACATACCTCTCGCCTCGCCCGCGCCCTCAACCGCCGCGGCACCCTCTTGACATTATGGCTCGCCGTCCGCCGCCGCAACGCCCGCGGCACCTTCTGGAACGCCCGGCTCGTCAACGCCGCCCGCGACCGCTGCATCCCCGCCTCCAGCGACCGGATCTCGAACTCCCGGGCCTCGACATACGCCGCGACGTCCAGCTCGCCGGAGACGGACAGGGCCGCGTCTGAGGTCTGCACGGCCAGGGTCCGGGCGTCGAAGGTTTTGGCGCGCTTGCGGGCGGCGGCCGCCGAGAAGCCGCTGTTGTTGTTGTGGTTGCTGGTGCTGTTGTTGCTGTTTCTGCTCCCCGCCGCCACGGCCGCCGCCGTGCGCTTCGAGGGAGGATTGAGGGCCATCCGTATGATTTGCAAGGCGTCTTGGAAGGAGAAAAGATTAAATGTGACCGACTCAGAGAAATGAGGAAAGGACTCAGGTGCAGGGGGGGTTAGGTGAAGTTCTTTTTTTTTTTCTCTCCCTCTCCAATCCCTGTCTGGTAACTTTGTCAATGATAGATAAATTGATGGAATGGGAACAAATCCATGATGCATGGCCGGCACATGGAAAGGTTTAGCGCAAGTCATGCTCCCGCCGCGCCGGCCAAAACAGCCACACACAAAAAAAGACACCCACCAATGACAGCCACTGGAGGGGCTCAGTCTTCAAACAACTTAATTTAAACGCTTGGGAGGTTTGGGCTTAATATCATGTAGATCATTGCAAGCTAATTGTTTGCTTGGTATCATCTCTACAAAATCTTGTACAGCTGCTGTGTACACTGACCTGCTTGTTACGCCTTCTACGTCGACCACTCAATCTTTGACATTATTCACCAAAGTTACAATGGATCAGGTTTTGATTTCATAGCATCGTAATGCGTTGAATTTCTTCAACTATCTAGTGGGAAGTCTAGCTCTTTCTAATATGACTTTTTGTTTGCCTTTATTCCAGGTCATTAACCCACAAAGCTAAAATGTCAACGCCATCTATCAAACCCATGCAACCTCTATGGTATTGGAATTCGGTGCATTTACAGGTTCTTGAGGATGGTCTCGGCGCTCGAGAACTGTGCAAACGTTAATTATCAATTTCCATATCCCACCGAAACAAAAGGCTCAACATACCTCGAGGTGGTTCTTAGCGGGCTCGCGCTTGGCGTAGGTGACCTTGCCGTGGTCGATGATGATGGCGTAGCGGCCAGTGCGGCCCTCCTCATCAGCCCAGCCGATGCTCTTGGAGAAACGGGCCTCGGGGTCGGAAAGGAAGAGCTGTGAATTGTCAGTTGAAGGTCAATGGAGCAAGGGAAGACGAAGAACATACGAAGTCATCACCAGTGACGTTGTTAGCCTTACCCCAGGCGCTCATGACGTAGGCATCGTTGTAGGCAAGGACGGCAACAACGTCGACACCCTTAGCCTTGAGCTCAGGGAGCTTCTCGGCGTACTCGGGGACGTGGCGAGCAGAGCAGACGGGGGTGAAAGCACCGGGGAGGGCGAAGAGGACGACCTTCTTGTCGGCCCACTCCTTGGAGGCGTTGTAGTTGATGGGGATACCGCAAGCCTGGATCTCCTTGCTCTCCTCAGCCCAGGGGATGTAGCTATCAATCAGAGATAAGTCAGTGGGAAAGTTGCGAGGTTGATAGCAAAGCGGTGGCAATGAAGAATTGCCAGAGATAGCCGTGCTTCAAGGACAGAAAGAGAATAGAAAAGTAAGAACTTACGAGAAGACGACGTCGGAGGGGAAGCTGTCACCGGGGTTGAGGCCAGACATTGTGATCGATTGGTTTGTGTGTGTGGAAGGTGGGTTGAAGAAGAGTGAAGTGAGAGAGTTGGTGATGAATTGGAAGAAGTGGGTTGGAGATTGGTTTAAGTACGTAAGAGAAAGAGGAAGAAGGAAGAGAGGACGGATGGAGGGAGGAACCCGTGGCGGGTTAATATATGCTGCTGGATGGATGGATGGTTCCTGCCGGAAGGCGTGCCTGTTGGCAGGCCAGCGAATTAACGCGACGATACGGCAGCGACGGCCCGTCTAAGGCGCCATAAGGTGATCCGAAGCAGAAAGATACCGAATCGATTGGATCCTTACAGTGAATACTGGAGAGGGGGTGTATTATCAAGAAAGACCGCCCGAGACTGAGCCTTGGGAGAGCCCCGCCAATTGCCCCTCCTCTCCACCGCCGATATCTCTGCTATCTAGACCGTCCTCGGTGACAAATCCACCTCCGTCCTTTTCCTCATCGTCATTGTCTAGATCGGGACGCTGATTGATAACACTCACTCAATTTTGTGCTCACTGCTCAGGGGCTCTAATACCGTATGACTCAGCTGACACTGTGCGCAACTAATCTTTGAGTCATCCTGTGAGTATTTCGGAGTCTCGACCGGGTTACATACCCAGATCGATAGTACTCGAAGTCTGATAGACAGTGCAGGCGGAACTTATTCCCCCACTCGGATTGTCTTCATGACACCTCAGAGTCTCAGACTGACTCTCAGACGCAGTTACAGCAGTATCTAAATCATGAGACTCATTGTCAATTCATATGATAGTACCCGGTAGCGAAACAACAATCAATAACGTCCAACAGCTCTCCGTCGAACAATTACATAAACCCTGATGAACCGATTGCCACGGCAGTCTCACTCAGTAGTACAGTACATACTCGCTAGACATCCCTTCACAACAAGAACAGGCCATCCGACTCCTAATACTAATCACAAAATCCAACCACACCACCCTACCTAGTATCGCTCTCACCAGCTACCTAAGGTACCTACCTATACAGAGTCCCAGACCCCGGCCCTGCAGGAGGCCGTTGAGACGATCCCACTACTCCCGAGAGGGCGCGCTCATTGGCGGGCAGCCAAGATGGCGAGGACTGTGGATCTCCGAGGCGAATCTCAACCCAATCAAACCGCCCACGGCGTTTGTTGCTGGCAGGGATGGAATCTTCTACGGCTTGTCGGCTTTCTCACCGCCAAAGACCCGCCAACTACGTAACCAGCCCTGAGAACCTTGGGGCTCCCCTTCCCCCGCCACTATTCGGATCAAAACACCCCTGGTTCCGAGGCAACAAGGCTTGACTTACCCATCATTGAAGGACTGTACCACGAAAAAATAGGAGAGAATTGGTTCCGTGGGTTAACAGGCATTTTCGTGTCAGACTCGCCACGGAAGTCAATTGAGATTCTTTGCCGTAGGAAGGTTCATTCTGCAGGTCAAAAGGTACGAATCTGATAAGAATTTCGCTGCTTGCCCTCCGTAGTAACGGTGGCTGCGAATGCGCGATGCTTTGGGATTATCTAAGACCTTTTTGATTATGGTCAAGATTACTACTCAATGATTAATTACTCGAGTATGTGAATGATGCTCACTATGTACGAGACACGGGGTCTCGGTCTTCACATCCCAGCCGATTGATTATCTAAGGCAGGTCGAAGTCCGGGCAACCGTCTGCGTCTCCACTATGCTTATACAGCATCTGGGTTCTGGAAGGGAAAATATCGCCATTGACTTAATCACGGACTCGTCTATACATGCTTACACGCAGCGCCCAATATCACTAAGAATTCGTGTCTAGACGCAGGAATTCCCGACCAAGATCAACCAACGGCGTTAGTTTGTCTTGAAAGTCGAGACAGACCTACTATGCTTATGAGGCTGTCACTAAGCGTCGGGGATTGTGCTTCCCAGGCAGAGCCAGTTTCATCGACAGTGGCATTATTTACGAGCGGATGTACAGGGTCAAAGTGGTTTTGACCATAGGGCGCTTATCAACTAAGTGCAGATCTCGATCACCCGAATTTGAGCAACCATCCCAGCGTGTTCCAACACCAAACTCAGAAAAAGCTCAGTGGTGGAGCCCTCGTGAAAGACCTGTCCTCCTGCGCCAGCGAGCGCAAAGCAGAGAGCAAGGACAGATCGGCGACCGACAAACCGCTGCTTTGCTGCACACCTGGAACATGGAAAGGCTTTTCTTCCACTTCACAGACCTTACCATGACTGGGGAGCTCGCCTGTCTGGAAGTATTCTCGGATCACCTTGGCCGAGCACAACGACGGGCCGCTCAAGGTACAATGCTGCAGAACGAGACGTTGAATATCAGTATGTTTGCCACCACTGTAGATAAAAATCATGACCACCAAGAGTAATACGGCACTTACTCCCACTGAGTTCTGCTGTAGTACAGCCGACCCAGGAAACTGCTTCGACATCGCGAATGCACTGCAAGAATTCTGTTAGCTTTGTATCACAGCAGACACAGAGAGACATAGAAAAGCGGACTGACTTTCGGAGAGGCGTGACTGGGTCGTAGGTGTTCCCCGCAAACAACAGCGGATGAGATGTATTCCCGGCGATTGGGCCTTAGTAGAATAAGTCAGAGTTCGATAAACAATCTCAAGAACAAACAATGCGCCTACCCTCAAATTGCCATGCAGGCCTTGCCTTCCACTCGATGCAGCCGAAGCGGATCTCAGCCCAGATGTCGCCCACGGTCTCACTCTGGTTACGCAGCGTATGCCAGTAGTCCCTAAACTTCCCCTTGTCGATCCCGCGGATATCCTGCCCATCGGAGCATAGGATGCCCATCTGCGCCTCGTCGGTATTCTCACCGGGAACCATACACGGCTTGGAACCACTGGGATCGCACGGGGGCGTCCGACGCCAGTCCTGGCGCTCCCGCTGCTTGTACTCCGCAAACGCGGAGCCATTCCCGTGAGTGAGGTCCGTCAGGAACCGCGCCACCCGCTCGAAGGACTCCATCGGCGTGTAGACCGCCTGCATGGCCAACATCTTCACATCGCTGTAGGTGATAATGTCCGGGCCGCGGGCCCCCGACGCCGGGACCGCGACCGGGTTCGCTTTGAGGGTCGTCAGGAGGTTCTCGTAGCGATCGATCGTCGCCTGCAGGCCCCCCTGCCCGGAGGCGAACGAGCACACCTCCGGACCGACGGAGTTGCAGAGCTCGAAGAATGACAGCCACGCCGCGTCCGCGTCCTGCAGGTTCGTGAGCCAGCCGCCGGCGTAGTAGTCGTTGACGTCGCACACGCCATCGATCACCGCCCGGTGGATGCGATGAGGCTGCATCGCGGCGAACGTCGATCCCAGGACCGTCCCGTACGAGAACCCCCAGTACTGCAGCTTCTCCTGACCTGGCACCCAGCGATTGCGCCGGAGGATCGCCTTTGTCTCTGCCTCGCTGCTGACGGGCCCCTCCAGCGAGCCTCTCTCGCCAAGTATTCTCGCCGTCTCACGCTCCCGCCACTCGCCATGCCGCTCAATGAGCTCGACCATATCCGCAACCACAGTCGGAGTGTTCATGAACCGTCCTATCCATTCGCCGCTTTCCTCTTCCTCATCCCCCTCCTCTCCTGCCAGAGCACCACTCAGCGACTGCGTACAAGTAAGCCCCATGGCCCCATGCCGCGCCCACCGCGCATCAAACACCCCCTCCGAACTCCCCAGAACCCCCTCCGCCTCGACCTGCATCTTCCACGCGCGCCGCGCAGCCGAGTCGCGGAAACACGAGAACGGCGGGGTGGTATTATTGACCCCGCGAGGATCGAAGCTGACCACGTCGAAAAACTTCCCGTCGTCTTGTGGTGGTTGCACACCCGGTGCGGCCGCCTGCGCCGACGCGTCCACCACGGTCTGGATGTGCCGCCCGCGCTTGAGGACCATACTCACCCCGGAACCGCCGGGCCCCCCGGGGTTCAGGAGGATCGGTCCGCCGTATCGCGGATCGGTGACGGGGACCTTGGCGGGGCGCTTGATCACGGCCAGTGCGACCTGTGCTCCTTGGCCATCGGTGCGGTTCCAGTCCATGGGGAGTGCGAGGCGGGCGCATTCGTGGCCGTCGAAGCAGGGGTGGTAGATAAGGTGCTGGGTGGGGGTGATCTGGTTTGGTTTTGTTAGTCCTGTCTCGTAAGGGTGCAGATCAGATCAAAGTGTGGGGTATAGTATAGGTACTTGGTCCCAGCTGAAAGTACGGCCTTTATTGGCATGGGGAGAGCCATCATGGGGCTTGGTGACCCTCGGTCGGAGCAGGTCCAGGTGGAATTGGGATAGAGCCACGGCTCCGACTAGTAAGAGAACGAGGGCATGGATGGCTCGTTTTGCGAATCGTGACGAGCTTGATGGCGATGGTGGGATTGGGGACTGAGGGACAGGAAGATAGTCGTTCGGTTTCCACGAGGGATGATGCATCATCATGTGATGGAAAGGGTTGCCAGCCGGTTTTCTCGAGCAAAATACCCGCGCACTCAGATGTTAGAACAGGATAATTCTTCGTGTGTCATGGGCTGACATTCTGTTGCTAGCACAGAGTAATATATATGCCGACGGCGAGTAGTGTCCAGTCGTATGCGCTAGTCTATAGTTACATCGCATCCATGCAGGCAGCAGTCCACGCTGTACCGACGGCCCCGTCCGCACCTGCCGTGATTATATTTAAGCAACTCCTAGAGACTAAAATGCTTTGAATGATAATAAGTCACTAGGCCTCTATCAGCTTGAGTGACGCGATCGAATCCCATTTCTAAGAATCTCCGGGGTTCACTGTTGCCATTGAACTGAGGTTGGATCCAGGCTTATACTAGTACCATACAATTGCGTGATATATATTTGGCGGGCAGATAAGGCGGGCGGCAAGCAACAACCTTTCTACACATAGATAATCACCATTTTAATACCTCACCTCATTTTGCAGAGCCAATCAGAACTCTACCGCCCTATCATCCATCTCTAGACCCATCTATCCCAAACCGAATTAGCAAGGTTCACTAAACACCGACTAAGATCTGACATCCAGACCCAGCAAAACAAAGCCAGCCAACGTAGCACGATCACATGACCACAAGCGTCACCACGAGTCAACCACAACAAACCCCTTCCCCGGAACTTTTAAGCAGTGCTCCTCATCAACCACGAATTTCTCATCCCAAGACATCCCAGCAAAAAACAAGCTCCTCAAAGTTACAAGAACAATGGCCGACATCAAGCCACCATTCACCGAAGAATCTGCTCGCAAGAAGGTTAAAGCGGCCCAGAATCTGTGGAATTCCCAGTACGTTTAGTCCCAGCTGTCGGTAGGGCTCGAACTATGATGCCCTTTGTTTTTGTTTCACCCTCAGGGTTTCTTGTATAGTAGGCAAGAAGTTTTTTTCTGTGGTGAACCAAACGATGTCATACCTGAGATCGCTCCACTCTTGTCGGAGAACGCTCACGCAGGCATGAAGGGAGTCACATCATCATGCATACATACACATTTGCTTTCCCCCCCCTTGCTTGTGAGAATCGAGGGAGACTCCCTCCACCCCTTCCCTATCTCTGCAGCCCGCCTCGTGGGGTTTGAGGCTTGCCCCTTCTCCATCTTCTGCTTTTGCATTAGAGGATTTTCTTTCACTCTTAATCTTTACATCAAGGGCAGCATCATCTTGCCAAAAAAAGAAAAAAAAAAGAAAAAAAAAAAAACAACCCCTAAGATACTGTGCTTCAGACGAGAACTTCTTTGCACCTAACTACATGCCAGAAACATTGCCTCAGCGTAGATACTAGTTTTCCTGTACTTACATACCGCCCAGAGACCCCGTCCGAGTCGCGCAGGCCTACACCCCAACCTGCATCTGGCGCAACCGCACCTCATTCTTCGCCGGAACCGCGGACATCGTCGAGTTCCTGACCGCGAAGTGGAAGCGCGAGCAGAGCTATCGCCTACGGAAGGAGCTGTTCTCGTTCACGGACGACCGGATCGCCGTGCAGTTCTGGTACGAGTTCCAGGATGCGGACGATGGGCTGCGCTGGAAGCGCTGCTACGGGCTGGAGGACTGGACCTTCGACCGCGAGACGGGGAAGATGCGTAAGCGGATGATGAGTGGGAATGATGTCTTGATTGGGCCCGATGGGAATGGTGAGGGGAGGTGGTTTGTGGATGGGGTGGATGTTGAAGAGGCGGAGATAGGGGAGGAGCATTGGTAGTGACGCGGTTATGCGCAGACGGCCTAGAGTAGGTGATGTGTTTATGTCTATATGAGATGTTCTCTATACCGAGTAATATGGTTGACCAGGGGGCTCCGATAGGCAACAGGGCCGATTACCCCCGCGGCCGCGAGCACGGATTTTGCATGCGCGATTGTTACTTCCCGGAGCTGTCAATAAACCCCCAGCAGATTTGGCGGTGTATGTTCAGTCCATGTATGCAGTAGAACTCCGATTGGATGGATGAAAGGGCGCCTGCTCGAAGGCGCATTACCCCTCATCTGGACGTAATTCAAGAAAGCACAAGTGTCCCTATTGTAAGCTTCATGGCGGTATCATTAAGGAGGTGGAGCGACACAATTGGATTTATTGTTGGTATGTATCCCAGCGATGGAAGTGGTTGTCGATGTTGTTATTCTCCAATCATGAGTTGGCACCCCTGGTTGTAGGGAACGAAGGGGAGGGATTGGAATGTGCAAGCAACTCCCAAATGAACACCCAGCTTTCCCCTCCCCCCCCTCCTTCGTCTGAAGTGCGCTCATGGGAAGTTTTGGAGGAATGACCAAATAATGAGTAGGATGCGAATGGTGGGTGACCCCCAACAACTAGGTATAGTGAGGCTTTCCACCGATGAAGATTCGATAGGACAACTCGCTATGCGCGAGTAACTCGTATCATAGAGTGCAGTAGACAAACCAGCAATCGAGCCAGTCCGCCAAGCTCAGCGCTCAGTGTGTTGTCCAATGCTGCCTCTCTTTATTTCTTCAATTCAAGCCTCAAGAATTGACCAGAGACTGCATTCCACCCAGTTCTGCGGCAATATCAACCAATCAAGAAGAATCCACCATCAAACAAGACACAACTTATTGGTCATTCCACGGACTTTGCCTCTGCATGGTATGCTCCAGACCAAGTGAATAGGCCTGTGTTTGTTTGGCTTTTCCGGTGTTTCGAGTAATGTGCCCGGGGGGCATGCGCCTCTGCGAAAAGTTGGCTGGCACACACACACACATTGCAATGTATACTGTCGAGTGCCTGCCCTGACCTTGCCCCCCATCATCATCATCGATGGTAGCAACAGTCGCCACGCTGCACGCCCACTCACTCACCCACTTACCTGCCTTATCGCCGCCTGCATCATCGTCCGAAAGTCGCGTCGTGGTCGTCATCCCACATGTGCTACACGAGGTTTCGCTAGACGACAGTCGACCGGGAAATTTACTAACCAAACACTCGTAGGCACGCGACACACCCACTTGGACCCGCTTGAATCACTCACAAGTCAGACACAGACGTCGACGTGATCAGTCGTCCAAGACCCCATCTTGCCGTCTCGAATACGTGACCTAAACACCTCGCGTCAGTCCGTGTCTCACTGTCCTCGAACTTCACACGCGCAAGTCAGGAGGATCTACCTTCCCCTGATCGACCGGATTGACGTCTCGGAGAATTACACTCAGGATCATATTGAAATGTCAATCCTGAGGCAGGTCATCTCGCAGTGCTAAATCGGGTACACGGGGGGAGATGGACGAGAATAATCAAGTCTACCTGAGTCCTCAGATGATGCGGACCCCACTGATGGATGCCACAACAAGAGTCAACAAATACCCAAGCCTTAGAGAAGACAAGGAGGAGCAGATGAAGCAAGGACGATACTACCAAGCTACCTCGCCAATGCCGATGTCGATTGTGACCAGTCCATTGTCGACCAAACCCGATGCGGAGATGAATTACGCGACCCCCGTGGCCGATTCACGGGCTGCAACAAACCGACACTCGACTATCTCGGCCACATCCACCGCCTCCAACAGAGGAAAGCGCAAAACGCATGTTGGACCATGGCAGTTAGGAAGGACTCTCGGGAGTGGCGCAAGTGGTCGGGTGAGATTTGCGAAGCATGCACTCACTGGTCAGACGGCAGCGATCAAGATCGTCTCGAAGAAGTCGGCAGCAATGACGCAGAGTGAGAGTATTGCGGGAATGGATCGGAAAGCAGGTCACTTTGGGGGAACTGGCATGCGGCATATTCCATCCGGACTTGAGAGAGAAGTGGTGATCATGAAGCTCATCGAGCATCCGAACGTGATTAGTCTATATGATGTCTGGGAGAACCGTGGCGAATTGTAGGTCAGCAAGTCTGCTTGTCTGCTTGATTGCTAACTTTCTTTCACCAGATATCTCGTTTTGGAGTACGTCGAAGGAGGAGAGTTGTTCGAGTACGTGCAGGACCATGGTCCATTACCGGAAGAGGAGGCAGTGCGATTATTCCGGCAGATCATCGCAGGCCTCGGCTACTGCCATCGGTTTAACATCTGCCATCGCGATCTGAAACCCGAGAATATCCTGCTGGACAGCTGGCATAATGTCAAACTGGCTGACTTTGGGATGGCCGCTCTTCAGCCCATGAATCAATGGTTGAATACATCCTGTGGCAGTCCGCACTATGCTGCCCCGGAAATCATTTATGGCCGGAGGTATCGTGGGGATATGGCAGATATCTGGAGCTGCGGTATTATCTTGTATGCGCTATTAACAGGCTTCCTTCCCTTCGATGGAGGCGATCTGCCCAATACCCTGCGCCTGGTCAAAAAAGCAGAACTTGAAATACCGCCCGAAGTAAGCCTCGAGGCTACTGATCTCATCAGGCGGATCCTGCAGAAACGACCCGAAGAGCGGATTAACATGCAAGGAATATGGGCGCATCCTCTGTTGAAGAAATATGAGAAGCTCCACCAAGCGATGGCGAATCACTACGTGGGACCCGCTCCGCCCTTGTCCTTCGATGAGTGTGGTGAACCTATCGCTCATAGACAGGACGTTGACCCTGATTTGTTAAGGAACCTTCAAACATTATGGCATGATGTTCACCAGGAGGTTCTGATTGAGAGAATTCTGTGTCCTGAGTAGGTCAATCCTTGGTATCATTACTTAGCAGTGACCCCAAGACTGACTTGTTATACAACTTCAGACCTACCCACGAGCGAATGTTTTACAATGCATTGGTCAAGTTCCGGAACGAGCAGCTGGAAAACTACCAAGGCCAAGCCCTGGAGTATTCTGCCAGCGACTATCATCATATATCGCGAGTGGAAGAGCGCAGTGCCTACAAACGAAACAGTCATGCCAAGTACCACTCCAGGAAACAATCCCAGGCATCGGTCAAAGAGACAGGCATACGAACCAGAAGATCGATCAGAGAGCCAATGTCTTGTGCCACAGTAGAGAGTTATGATCCGTTCCGATCTCCAAAGCACAATATATCGCTGAAGGAGGCCGAATTTGCGCAAATCACGATCTACCGGAACGGAATCGACAGAGTCGAGACCTTGGAGAAACCCCCCGTGCCCCCCGTGCCAGAAACGGTGGCCCAGGAGTCATCATGCCAGGAAATCGACTGCCCTCCAAGCTCGCCGTTTATAGTGAGTCACAGAAAGAAATTGAAAGTCGCTTCGATGAAGTCGTTCCAGTCCAGAGCCTCACAAGCGTCTCGACGAGCTCTGTATGGCACCCCGACGCCGCGATCGGCGAGTTACAAGCGTAACGTTTGTTTTCGCCATGCTCGAAGTCGCTCCCAGGGATCAGTTTCGGTCAGGACGAAGACCGCGCGGGTTAGGACACGGGAGATCAAAGCAAATTCCAGTGACGGGAGTTTGGTATCTGAGTTCGAAGACGATCCGTTTACAGATACTAATGGCAGTCCGACGCTTCCGGCTCAGCCAACCGTCGTTAGAAGTGCGGGTCTGACGATCAAGAATTGCCCTCAAATGAAGAAGCTGCGAACCTCTGACTTCACTTGGAAGGAGGATGCGCGGAAGGTGTCCCACGAGCTGAGTCAAATCTGTGAGGAAGCTTTCAACGGTAGTTCACTTTCCACTGCGTGCACGAATACGAGCACTTGCATTGGATCGGAAACCCCTGCAACCTCAGTGTCCATGACCAGCCCTGAATCCTCGGAACAAACAATAAAGTCAAAGACGTCCAACAGTCGACCAAAGCCACTGCCTCCCGTCTCATCACCAAAGCCTTATACAGTTGCAGAGTTAGCCGAAACTCGACGTAGGCTGATCGAGCACTCTACTAAGGGCGGGAATGAAGATATCCCCGGCTACTTAGTCGCCGTCATAGGCCACCTCGACAGGCTGATTGAGCAGGATGAACTTCGACAACGTGACAGACCTGAATCAGCACGTCACATTTCTACTGCTTCTGCTGACACCTTCGTCCGGTCTCCGAACTCAGCTGGGCACCACAGCAAACGCAACAGCGTCATAGTCCCCTCCGACGGCCAAAGAACGGCTGCTCCTCAGCCAAAAAATGTCGACTACGCTGCTAGCCGTACAAGCCGGGACGGCAAGCGGACAATACGTATGGTGCCTCAGAGCTCCGTCCAGTCAATTGAACCGTCCAGGCACCTACCGGTTCAAAAGAGCCAAGCCGTGCTTCCACAGGAAACACGGCAGTCGCTTGATGGTTATAAGATGACCCCTGACAACGATCAGGGGTCCCTACCTACCAGACGATTTGCCTCCGTGAATTCTCGTCACAGCCGCATCCCCTGCGAGCTGGATCCTATCGCAGAGAATCCTGGATCGCCTAGGCGCAGCGTCACTCGAACATCAGACAACAGGAAATGGTCCTGGCTCCCCAACAAGTACAACACCTCTAACATCGAAAAGGGATCCAGACACTCGGCACATATCCGTCCGATACAACCCAGCTCAGAAACCGTGATACGACATGAGGTCCACCCGCCAACGGATTTCTTCGCGACATATGGCGAATCCAGCTCGACTGAGAAGCAGTCACCCTCCAAAGCGAAGACAGGATTCTTCAGAAGACTGATCAACCGGCGAACAAGCAAAAGTGCGCAGAGCCGGGAATCAGGTGAGTTCTCTTGCCCTCAGCGCTCCATAGCTCTTGCTGACCGCATTTAACAGCCATAGAACCTGAAAGCGCAGAAACAGACCAGTTGCTGGAACAGCCCCAGCAGCCTGAGCACACTTGTGACGCCAGTGGCAGTAACAGCAAGGTTCTCCCAGACCGGCCGCCCAACCCAGGCAGAAGCCAGAACTGGTTTGCCCGAGTGTTCCACTTCAAGCCCGCGACTCGAGTCGTCGCACTCAACACGTCCACCATGAAAGCTCGAAAGGACGTTCACAGAATCCTCAGGGATTGGAAGAAATATGGTATGCAGGATGTCCACCTTGACCGTGATAGACGTGTCATCTATGCTACCGTCGGTGAAGCAAACTGTAAGTTGACGTAGACGCATCCTGGCCTTGATGGAGTTGGACTAATCTGGCGACGCACATACAGTCCTCCGCCTCCGACCTGTCCAATTTTCCGCTGAATTCTGCACCTACCTTGAACACGGCCGACAAGAGAATCTCAGCCTTGTCCGCTTCAGACAAGAAAGGGGAGCAGCGTCCTCCTTTAACAAGGTTGTTGACGCACTCTCCATGGTCATGGAGCAACGCAACATGCTCGTGGAAGATCCAGCCCGAGCGAAGGAGATGATTCGGATTCTGGACGCTTTCCCAGAATCATAGTCGCCAAAAAGATTCTCTAACTTTCCCCACATTTCTCCTAAAACATGCTTCATACTAAACTTAACTCTATTTCAACTCTTCAAACCCTTACTTCTATTCACTTCGAGCAACGATTTCTGTTCCCACAAAACCAGGAGTCATTTTGTCTCGCTAGCCCTTAGGCCGCCGCCCTGCATCCTGAAAACCACAGTTTTCAGCTTGCCGGCCAGGACCAGGTGTTCAGGTTTCCCCTTTGGCCGTTCATTGCTTCCTGGAATACTCCCATGACTGAGCGAATCTGTGATTTCCTTTGTATCTCTTCTCTTCTCTTTCAACTTCCACTGCATCTACCTTCTCCCTGTGAATTTACCACAGGGATTTTTGATACTGATACTGATACTACCCCAATTGCAAGTGTACCGTAACTCATATCTTCATGTCTCCCCTTTTTTCAACCTGAATCTAGCGTACTCTGTTTTTCCGTGTCGAATAAACTCTCCTGAATCTCAGCTTGTAGTTTCTCAAACATTCGATTACCTTAAGTCTCAATCGAACTCCTTTATTTTCAAGGAGCCCCGCCCATCTCTGAAAAAGATCGAAGAAATGCGCCAAAGACATCGTCGACCGATGCACCCTTCCCTGAAAAGCACGCCCAGAGTATCATCGACCGGCAAAGAAGGAGAGCCCTCCCCTTTCCACCGTTTCTCCAAGAAGCATGACATCACATCACCCATCACCATTAGGCATCTAGGCAAGATCCCCTAAGCTGTACACTACCTTAGGCATTTCCCCCCCCTCGCGGAAGGGAAGGCTATCACTAGGTAGTAGGACGGGACGAGGGCTGTCCCCGGCTGGCAAGACGAAGACAAGCCCCCAAGCAAGAAAGAGATCAGCTTATACCACCCATGCACCATGCACTATCTCAACCACCATATTCCATTCCCAATAAATGCAGCCTCAAGCCGATCGATCCCATACCGCGTTCGACAGACCTCATCCCTCCCTAGCTAGCTAGCTAAGTTAATTATACCCCCCGCGGAAAGGACAGAATCCCTCTTGCTCATGCTGCACAAAGTCAAATTCAAAGTCAAAGTCGAAGGAAAGCTAAAGCTGAAAAGAAAATTGAAAAGTGGCGATGGCGGGTAGGTAAGCACGGGGGAGCGATATCCAGAGGGGAGGATGTTGCAAGTGTACTGTGCTGTACACCAGTTGCCGGGTTGGGCAGGCAGACAGGCAGGAGGTACTCAAGTGGAAGTTCCGGTACGGGTATGGTTGTTATCCGTGTCTAAACCGGATGGAGGTAGTCCCGATGGTGCTTGCTAGCTTCCTGGGATGAGCAAGCTAGGGAGGGCTTCTCTCTTCTTGCAGGGTGATAAAGAGATAAACCCAGGGGAGGAAGCCACGAGAGAGAAATCAGAATTGGGGGTGGGGGGGTTGATTTGCCATGTCCGGCTGTATAGGCAAAAAGCTTCTGCTGGCCTCGAACCTGAGCTACGACTGCTCCTACTCTTTAAAGCGTATCTAAATCTTCGCATGAAGTTCACTTACCTGCCTGTCTCTTCCAGACCCGTTCTCATAGCCACCGAAGCATTACTTCCACTAAGCACGGACAATAAAACACTCATTACTCGATACAGCAACCACAATCGCAGTAAAGACTAGAGAATTTATCCATTCCAGAATCTAACGAAAGAAAAGTATCCGTAGTACCAGAACCATAGATCGGTGGATAGAGGTAAATAAATAGACATAAGCATCTTGGAACGAAGAACTCGAAGAAAGGGGAAATAAACAAGATGCACAAATGCTGGATCGAATGGAACGACATGCACTGAGAATTCCAAGGCACGCATGATTGCGAATTCATAAAGTCGGATAAAATGTTGATCAGACAGCCTCCCAAGTGATATAGAAAAAAGGAAAGGAACAAAAGTAAAAGAAATCAATGCGGCGATGATAAGCTACAACCAAGCAAAAAACAGACACATAGAGCCTCCCTTTTTAGGGCGATATGAACTTCCGGGTGAGACAAACAGTGGAAGTAACACAAACGCAAACCAACCAAGCAGATGTCGACCATAAAAAAAGCGCATAAGCAGATAGCCACCCGAAAAAGAAAATAAGATAGAAAAGAGGAGAAAAACAGAATCGCGTGGATAAGATAGATAATGAGACAATTTGAATCGAAACAGAAAATGGGACAGACACCACGGCTGAAATAAATTCATCACTCATGCGCCGGGAAAAGAAGTTGAAGGACAAGCGAGCAGAAATCCGCATTTGAGGTCGGATCGTAATGTGATGGATGGCGAATGAAAGGCATTGGAATCTTCTTTCTGGACATGCCAAACACGAGTGGTAAGCAAGAAAAATGGGCACAGAAACCCGCGATTGGCATCTGCCACACCAGTTCACATATTGTCGAACTGATATCATACCACTCCGGAACCTCTTTCCAGAACAACCGACTCGAAAAGCGCGAGTATTTCGTAAATGCAAGAGGCAGCAAATAGCACCCGTATACGGATGGAACTCGCAAAGCTGATAATGGAAAAATCATTAATAGATTACCCCGAGTACTGTATAAAGCCGTGGGTTTGTCTTGGATAAAAATAATGGCATGGCGAAGAAATATGTGCGAAGTTTTGACTGTGAAGGCACAGCGCGAGTCGACTTGAGCCGCAATATTGACAAAACGCACACGCCGTCTACCGCACATGATAATCAGCCAAAGACAGACATTCTCATAGTCAAATCATGCAGCTCATAAAACTCTTGCGTCTCGTTTCCATGGCCTCGTCGTCGGAGCAAATGGTTGTTTGGAGTAATCGTCACTGCACATCACTCCCATGTAGCGCAAATGGCGTTTTTCACCGCCCCTGCTTCCTTCAAATCCGTGGCGGACTGTTTGTCGAGAAGGATCACCGGCAATCCAAAGTCACGATTTCGTGCAGCATCATCGTTATCCATAGCGTCAATCAGAAAGAAAAAAAATCCGTTCACAGATTGCCCATGTTGTTGCTTTTCTTTTCTTGCGTCATATTTCTCGTCTCGTCACCCGCCTAAGAAACAGTAATGAGGGCCGCTACTGAATCAGCGCACGGGGTCACAAGCCGTTGACCGTGCCATGTGGAAGAATGTGTGACCAGCACACGAACCTGGCGCATCCATCAATAACCAACACAAAGGCGACAATTCCCGCCTCAACTTCCACCCTCGACTCGCTCCTCCACGCGGCGACAAGTTTTGCATGTGACTCTTCCAGTACGTGATCACATGCGCACTTAAATTGTCGGGGCAGATGTTTATTGGTTCAGACCCCGACGGTTCAATGCATTCAGCATATCACTGTCGGTGCTGGAGCGACCCTGGCTGTCGCCTGGGTTCAGCATGTCACGCACATTGAGTCCTCCACGAGTCGAACCACCCGGCGTGGAAGTGGGCGGAGGGGTCATTGCGCCCTGAGCGGAATGCATGGGAGGGTAGGGCGAACCGTGGGGCGAAGACGTATGGCGGCCATCGTAGGGGTAACTTTGTGGAGAAGAGCGGCGATCATGCTGCGGAGGGGGGTAGTAGGGACTGGGGGCATTGTGCGTTTGGTATCCCGATGCTGAAGTTGAAGGTATTACCGGAGCCAAATTTGTAGGATCGGGATAGTCGTAACCAGAGCCAGAGCCTCGACGGCCACCAGTTCTCTGCGAATCGATGATGATCAGTCCTGATTGTAACATAAACTAACAAACAGAGGGACTTGGTGACTCACGTGCTCGGGCGCATTGGTTGAAGCAAGGGGGGGAGCGGCACCCGGATAGTTGTACATTCCTTGAGGTGGTGGAAGAGTCGGGTCGGCTTGAGGTTGCTGTTGAGGCGGGAGCGGCTGTCCATGCGCTCCATATAGCATGACGGGAGGGCCGCCAGCTCTCTGGTTTTGCGGATTGCGCAGGTGTGGATACGCAGCATGAGCGGGGACGAAGGCTTGCGCCTGCGATGAGACAGGGGTAAACATGCACTCTTGGTTGAACCGAATACAGTTGCTGCAGCGCCCATCTTGAGAGCTTTCAAATCCCGAACAACGAATCTACAAATCCCGCGGAATTCGTGTTAGCCCACACTGTCGGAAAGTAAAGCCGGTGATCCAATTCATTCCCAATGAACATACCTTCCGTCTCCGACAGTAACGGCAAGCAATGGCAGTCCGCTGACGCGGGGCGGCAGCTTGATAGACTACCTGAGGTTGTGGTGGGGGCGGCTGTGCATAGACATCTGGGCGATAGGGACCAGAAGGCGGAGGAGGAAGACGGTATGGGTCTTGCGGGCCCTGAACGTGGGGATGGATGGCAGCCATGTTTGGATACTGCGGCGGGGGATGCGGATATTGGTGATCGGCCGACGGAGGAGGGTAGGAAGCCGGAGGATACTGCAGCGAAAGAATCATTGTTAGTAGGGATTGGATGAAGAGGTAATGACTCAATGGAAGTCTCCTAGGGCTGGAAGATCGAGTGACTGGAGAGGAAAAGACTCGGAGATCGAGTGGAGGAAAGATAGGCAAAGCGAAGGCCGCCACGAACAGCATCCCCACCACCGGCCTTCCTCATTCCCCAAAACATTCATAGAACCGCTATTATCAAACAAGACTAAACATACCGGGTATTGAGAAGCTGGCGGATAGTGCGCCGGAGGGTTGTCCTCGGGTTGACTAGTGTTCCACTGAGGTGGTGGATACTGTCCCTGTCGATTAGGGTCGCTGAGATCGTGGGGGTTGGTGGACATTTGTAAAGACGAGTGAGCGAGACTGTTGCTTTAAAAACGACGGAACGAGGATGGGGGGAAGACGAGAGGACAAATGCAGGATGATGTGAGTCGACAGTCACGTCCCGCGGGTCGTTTTGGCCAAGGATAAGCAGGCAGCAGGGGTGTTCTTCCTTTAGAAGTGGAGGAGAGGGGTGTGAACTGTGGTAGTGGCTGTCGTATGTATGTATGGGCAGGTTGTATGTATGTAAGACTGGAAAGAGAACTGCCAGGACGGTATGTATGTAAGTAATGGCAGTAAGCAGTATGTAAGTACGTAAGGAGAACAACAGTCACAGCAGCAGTATGTACGGGAGGACAGAATGGGTGTGAGTGTAAGAGGGTAAGTGTGTGTGCGCGTGTGAAGGAATAGTGCAGTTGGGTGTGAGAGCGTGTGTGTGGTGTAAAGTGACCAGGATGTCAATGCGGAGTCGAAGCCGGCCAGATAGTAGGTCAAATCAAAAACAGTTCCAGCTCCCGTCGGGTGATTTACGAAGCTAGCATAGCATAGCCTCGTGGTCACGCTGAACCGGATGGGGGAGTGTGCGAAGGCAAAGAAAGAATTAAAAAAGAATCAAGGATCTAATCCGCACCTGGTCGAGAACCAACGGGGAAGGGCAGGAGGGGTGGAAGGAATGCAGATAGGCGAGATGAACGGATGGCAAAAGGGAAGACAGACCGGGGGGGGGAAAGAGAAGGAAAGAGAGAGATTGGGAGGATGAAGAGAGGCGGTGGAGGGAAGAATAGGTGTAGAAAGTCGAGGAAGGTCGAATTTAGCAAGGGTCAGGGAAGGATAGTAAGGGGGGTGGGGGGAGGAAAGGCACTCGATGGTTGAAAAAAGACAAAAAAAAAATAGAAATAAAAAACAGAAATAAAAAAAATGATAAATAACAAAATATAGAGGGACAAAGAGAGTACCAGATGGGTCAAAATGGACAGAAAAAGGAAAATTAGAATGAAATATCCAAACCCCAAATCAGACAGATAAATGAGTAAGAAATGAAAAGAGAATAAAAAACAAAAGATAAAAACCAAAAAGAAAAAAAAAAAAAAGAAAAAAAACAACAATCAGAAAAAACAAAAAGAAGAACAAAATTCAAAAAGGCTCGGGGCTTTGGATTATGACGTGAGCGTTGAACACTGAGGGGCTCCCAGAGCGGTAGGCCTAATCCAGCTCAACTTAGGCCGGAAATATCGAAGCCCACCGGTGATGGTGATTCTGAAACGAGCAAATTGTGATAATTGTGATAGAGGTAGGAATGAATTTTCAATGCAGTGCAAAAAAGACATATACAAGGGTTAGAAAGCATGGTCACGTACTATGCACAATGGGAGAAGAGACTAGCAAGGGTTCTTGTCGGGCACGGGCAAGAGGCGTTACGCGGTCGAGGACGAGAAGGTGATAGAAGGCCTTAGCGGGCAAAGAAAGGGCGTCTGTTATGCCTGACAGTAGCGCGGATGCAATCGTCAGTATGGATCAAACACCACAGAAACGAGGGATGCGAGCATAGCAGGGTCAGAGCTGCCGATTAGATACTAGGTTACCACCGAGGGTGGCTGTAGAACGGGAGCCCTCGAGGGCAAACCGGCAGGTGCACGCCCCTTCTTTAATCTGGTCATTTTGGGTGCTTTTCTCGGTCCTTCACCTACCGTAGTTCTTTTCTGCAGATTTCGCAGTGTGGCAAGGAGCAGGGTGAAGATTCACACAGATACTGTTGCTAGAAAAAGATTACTCTGTGAAGGGAAGAGCCGAGAAATTGCGCCGTGTCAAGTCGATGACTTGATTGCAAATCGCTGCTTAGATGCAGAGCAAAGATAAGATGAGGCTCGATCAGCGGCAGATGAAGAATAGAAAGTCACAGGGCTTGAGAAGCTAGGAAGATAGTGGAGGGGCGCAGGCAGAAATTGGATGCGAATGCACCAATTCGGAATCTAATCGAACGCTCGGATTGAAAGCAGCCAAGCTATGAAGACGGAGTTTGAGTGTCTTTGCGCGTTCTTCTCATGGAAGCCTCTTTTCTCTCTGTTCGCTTTCTTTTTCGCTTGTGTGCCTCGCTTTCTGGGTGTCTGAATCCAATAATCTACACTCAACGAGAAAAAATAATTCATTGTAGTCTAAGACGCAGCCGCAAGCCGAATTGAGGTGCCAAAAATTACATTGGCAGAAATGTGGCAGTACTACGGTACGACCGTATGGAAGTGGTTCTTTGGGTGGCCGACTCGCCGGTCCGCCCGGGAGGCAAATTAGAGAGAAAAAAACGGTTGGGTCAAGCACACGAGACGCAGGGTGCCAGTCCCACGGCCGGGCTGACGGAAAGCGGAAAGGCGGGAAGATAAGTTTGCGATTGGGAATCATCAGAAGGACAAAAAATGTAACAGCCAACAGGCGGTTCCCTGGGACAACTGGGTCCCTGGATTTGGATACGATGCAAGTCTGAAATGTGCGCAATGAGAGAGGGATGAGATTGCTTGGAGTGAGCTATTAATCAATCCTGTGCAAATTAATTGATCCTTCTTCAGCGTACCGGCATGATGGCGGTGGTCTTGGTGTATACTACCGTGTAGTGTTTGCCGGCCCGATACTCGAGGACTGATCGCTATTGGTCCGGCTGGAGAAAATCACCACGCGGGCAATTAAATTGACGTGGATACTAGAATCCTCATGGAACAAATCTCGATTAAGTCCCCATTGTCAAGCGGTCGGGAAGGGGAAAGTATGGCCGAGTGTTATTACTGATGGAAAAGAGTCGAACGGTAGGTGATGGAAGAGCTTATTGAACCCTCCGGAGATCCGATGTACAGCAGAATCATAGTTAGCCATTTTACCTTGCCTCAAAGAACAAACAAGAAAAGAGACGTGTAAGAAAGTAGAGAAAATAACGACCAGAGTTGGTGACTGACTGACTGATTTGCCTGGGAGTAAGTAGCGGTCATGGCCAGGAAAACCGCGGACTAGAGAAGAACGGTCTGCAGTCGTAGTGGACCCTTTCCGACACGCCGGTGACCCATAGGAATGGACGGGAACTCTCTTAAGACGCAGCTAAAGCATTCATGGTTCCATGGGGATTAGCTGAATCGCTCGGGTTGGGCGTTTGGCAGGCCCGGGGCGAGCGCTACTGCGAAGTCTAGAGCCTGAAGAGGGGCGTAAGTTTGCGGAAAAGTGCAAAAGAGCGCCCAGTGACGAGTTGCGACGGAGGGAGGGTACGCCGGGACGGGTAAAGGCG